GGGTGCATAAGGAGCCTTCTTTAGTGGCGAATTTATTTGGTCAATTTGCGTGAAAATATTTTCGAAAAAGTGATAAAAGGAGATACTTAGCTAGGAGAGATTCTTAAAGAGGTTTACATGTTGAAAATGTCTATGGGGAAGCAAATGTACTATTATTATTGTATAAAATAAGTTATCAAAATAACAATAAAACAATGCATATCTTAGGCTTGGATGCTGTACTCTGTAGATTAGGTCCCGCAGGTCTTCTCGTTGGGTGCGTCCTGGATAGTCCAGTGGCCAGATAAATTCGTCAGTTGATCCTAATAAGAAATATAAATTGTTTCTTAAAAAACAGCAAGAGAATAATAAAGTTTTTAAATTATTTAATTATATTCCACGTGAAACCATAAATTTACACCACTTCGTTGCTAATACCTCTATCCCATAAATTTCCATATGGGAAACTAGAATTTTCTTGAAATTCCAGGCCAATCAAAGTGGCTAATAAAAATCACATGCTTATTTGTTTTCGTGTATCTTGATGAGCCAGGCAAGCAGCCAGGCAGGCAGGCAGGCAATTGGGTCCATCATTTAATCAGCTCGCAATTGTTTTTAGGCTACGAGCCCCACCAGAACGCCACCCCGCACACCATCGTCCACCCCAGCCACATAACGGACGAGGAGGACTCGGCATTTCCCGGCCTGCCGGATCGGGAGTTCCATCTACTGCATCGGAATATACCGGCCTTGCGACGCACTGGAGTGGACACGACACGCATTAGACAGGTGAGAAATGTGCCCCCTTGTGTTTTTAGTGTGCCTGTCAAACTGTAATTGCCGTCGTCCTTTGTACTTGCAGTACTTTTATCCTGACGGCGGCTGGGGCTGGATCATCTGCGGTGTGTCGTTTCTGGTCCACATCCTGACCACCGGACTGCAGCTGAGCTACGGCCTCTTGTTGTTCTATGCCGTTCAGTATTTGCATAATACCAGTGGCGTAGGTAAGTCAGAGGAAGGAGAGGAGAGGATCCTTAATCGGAATCACCGAGTCCTGGGGCCTTTTCTTGTTTTCCACACACATTTTCCTATGGCTTCTATCTCTCTCGAGTAATCAAAATGTTTGCCGGCAAATGCAAATATTTTAAATTATCCCCCATATTGTTTGTAGGTGTGGACTTTTGCATAAATTTTCGCATTTGCACTTGACACTGCGGACATCATTTTTTGGCTGGAATAGTGTCAAAAGTGCTGTTTGTTTGTGTTGGAGTTAACCATAAATTGCAAAGTGTTAATATTGCACTATTTTATACGGATTTCCGGAGTTTTGCATATTTTCCATAAATGCCTTTTGTATTTATTACTGATTTTTGTGCCACAAAGTGTAAATGTAAATATATTTTTGAAATATTTTTAATGCGGTTTTATGGGGAATGTAAATTGGATAAAAGGTGAATCTCTGTTGCAACATATATGTAGCAATAAATATTGAAATAATAAATCAAACAAGTGTTTCACACTTCACACACATAAAACACTTGTAAAATAGGTTGTCGTGTTAATTGTGGGGCATTTTTTTACAAGTGTTTTTATGTACTAAGTTGAATCTCGAATGTAAAATGGATAAATATAGGAAAATATATATTAAACAATTAAATATCATTATGCCTTAACTAAACTAATAGTTCAATTATTTGTTAGTAAACCTACTTTCCTATTTATTTTATAATCCATAAAGTTTTTGTGTTTCTTGCTAAGTGTGGTTTGGTTCCCTATTAATGTTGCAATATTTAATGATAGACCATTGAAAATTCTATAGTTTCACAAGACTCTCTTATTTAATTGATTGATCCCGTAAACTGTGAGCCTGTGAGCCTGGTTAACACACTGTTAAATCCCCATTAAGACCGTTTAAGTGAAGCCCTCAAAATTCCAGGCTGTCAATTTGGGTGAAAACGAGGAACAACAACATGTTTATAATATTACCACCCGCAAATGTGTTAATACCCATACAATACACCTCTCTGGCCGCGTGACCTTCGTCAGGTTGACTTTAAAATATTATCACTCTAAGAGAGCTTACCTTCCATTCGCTTTGCAGAACTGCTGGGCGCCTTGAGCTGGTCAGTCTCAATGGTGGCCACATCCTTTGTGGTGTCCCTGTGTCGCAAGCGCTCCATCCGCCTCCTGTCCATCGTCGGGGACTGGTGATGCCTCTGGGCATTCTGTTCACCTCATTTGCCACCGAGTTTGGCCAGGTTGTTTTCAGTTACGGTATGTATATAAACAGGTATATATATGTATGAATATATATAAATAAATAACCTGCCAGATGGTAGGACGAGGCGCGTTGCCGGAAGTTGCTTATCATTTGCAAGAAAAACTGCACTGAGAAATATGTTTTTATATAATCGGTAGAGGAGGCTTTTAAGAATTGAGATTTTTACAATATTAAATTCCTTATCAAAATATTTTAAAGGAAAATTTGGAAACAACTAAAATATAAACAACAGAACTTCCCAGGTCTGATCTTTTGATTAAACATAAAGATGATTACGAACCAGAAATCTAAATATATGTTTCCTCCATAAAAATATATTTAAAAAGAAAGTAATATAAAATACTAAATAGAATATATAACTTTGTTAGTTCCCGATTTGGTATTGTCAAGAAATAAATGAGAATTTTCAAGTTACAAATATAATTAATTCAAAGACTACATAACACTAATTAAATGGATGTCCAAATACCATCTCAGAGCGAGGAAAGAAATTATAAATTTAATTACTGGAAAATACAAATTCTCTCTTTCGCTTTCCCTCAATGTACATACTAAATAATACAGAAAAAAAGAAAATAATGAAAACATACCCGCAGGCATCGTCTTTGGTGTTGGGGTCGCCATGGTGCGGGAGGCATCCACCGTGATGCTGGGCAATTACTTTAAGCGGCGCCGTCAATTCGTCGAAATGGTGGCCATGTCCGGCGAGGGGGTTGGCATCGCTTTGTTCTCCGTCATCCTGAAGGAGGGCGTGGGCAAGGCCGGCTGGCGCCTGGGCCTCCAGATCGTGGCGGCCCTGACGGCCCTCAGCTTCTTCATGGGCCTAATGTACCGGCCCGCCTCCCTGTACCATCCCCAGCGACGGGCTATTCAGCATCTGAAAAATCAGCGCAAGAAGGTGAATTTTACAGGAAATTACATAAAGTTTTTTTATATTTGTTACACCCACTTGCTTTTTTAGATGCGAGAGAAGAAGCCGATTCTTAGCCAGGATGTGGAGAGCAGCTCCCCGAGATATTTATTTTTGGACATATCATCACTAAAGTCGGTGACTGTTAAAATTTTACTCATGACCTCCAGCGTGGCCTCCTTTGGCATTTATACGCCCATGTTCCTAATGGTAAGTGCTTTTTGCCATATTAATTTATCTTAATCAGTTTAGAGGATTATGGAAGTTGTCCGGTAAAAGCATTTTTGTAGTACATAAATGGGGAATATTTAATCAGGATAATGTTTGAGCCTAATCAATATTTGTGATATTTTTTAATGAATAATCAGAGCTTGAAAGAGGGGTACTTTTGATAATTTACAGTATAGTTTTTATAGATTATCATTTATATTTTCTTTTAATTTAGGCCCTCAATGCCGCCGAGCAGGGCTCCGATGTTCAAGAACTGGTACTCCTGCAGACATTCCTGGGCATCTCCATGGCCTTGGGTGTGGTTATAGCTGGTGCATTGCTGCGACGCTGCTTCGTGATTAAGCACTTTGTGATCAATACGAAAATAGTCACTCAGGTAAATAGATACATCAAATGGGTAAATGCTTAATAATAACTAATATGATCCTTAGCTTTTCATATCAATTGTGGCCTTGGCAATTCTGTTTCTATCCTTTGTCATGGGCTATACGGGTCTGTGCATACTGAGCTGGCTTTATGGCATTGGCCTGGGTGGTTTTCAATATTCATTGAAAATTCTGGCACTGGAGCGCATCAAGCTGAAACACTTCTCCAAAGCCTGGGGTGAGTTTTCCGTGGAAAATATTGATTTCCACTGACTTCCTTTCCTCGCTACTTTATTTTTTCTGAAAGGTTTCATTCGGGGTGTCGAGTCAGTTCCTGTGCTGATAAGCGTTCCACTCACCTCATTTCTGAACGATTACTCGCTGAAATATGGCCGGGCGGGATATTATATATGCTCGGCGGCTGCAGCCATTTCGGGCATCATTATCTTCTTCATAAGTGAGCCGCAGCAGCAGCAGCATCCGCAGCAGCATCAGGATCAGGGGCACCATCACTACCAGCACCGGAACGGTCATCTGCCGACGCCCTTGCTGGTGCGTCACTCCTCCGCCCGGCAGCATCGCACGCATCTTCCGCTGGACTATGGCTATGGGGAGTATCCGGCTCCAGATCTCCTCAGTCGCAGTTGCATCAGTCTCAATCAAATGGAGCCGTATCCTCAGCAGACCGGCTATTGCCAGCGTCACATGTTCCAGCAGCAGCAGCAGCAACATTCCCACCTGGAGCAGTTGGCCTGTCACAATCTTGATGTAACTAAAGCACTTGACTAAATGCTATTTTATTTTCAAGTTGTTTCAGTTTAGTTTCTTATCTTTTTCCTTAATTCATCTTCTTTTAATTGATTTCTTTGAGTTGAGCGGTTCTTATTACGCTCTGTTGCATGCAATTTATACAGAGCAAACGCACTTTGAGACTCAATAAGTTCGATTAAAAACATTTTGCTCTTGTGTTTGATTGAGTGTTCTCTAATAATATTTAAATAATAATTTGCAGCTCTTAGAAATGCTTGTAAGTTACCATAAAATCTCATTCTTTTCTCGCCCTGTGCAGGTCCGTGAAGCCTACCAGCTGGGCCAGGGTAGCATCGGTGCCAGGATGGGCAAGCGGCTCCAGCGGAGTCTGTCCTTCATCCAGCAGCACAGCAACTGCTGCGACGGGCAGATGTACTGCAGCTGGCACAGCACCTACGAGCTCGGCTGTCACAAGAGCAACAAGTGAGTACACAAGCCCCAGTCCCTGGCCACTCCTTGGTGAATGCTCGGTGAACCCTTGCTCTCCTCTCAAACGTAATTGAATGGCAAATCAAAGTTCAGCTTTGAAACGTTCCGGCGAGTAGAGTTCAATCTCAGAAAGCTTACAGAACCCTAAAAGGGGAGAAAAAATAAGAAGGGATTAAATAGAGAAAGAAATATTGAAATGCTAGAAACAATATATTTTTAAAAGGCAATTTTCAGGAGCTTATAGTGATGGTGTTGATTTATTTGCATTTAATTTCTTTTTAAAACCATATCAAGCATTTATCGCACACAATTTTTGTGTTTCCATAGCAGCGAAAAATTCGATTAAGCAGGCAATTATCAAAAATTAACATATTAAAGAGCAGAGAGAACAGAATTAAAACAATAAAAAACGTTAATTAATTAATAAATACATGCTGTATCGATAGTTAAAGCAAAACCCGATTATCGTTTCTTAATTATAGAAAAGAGGGATAAAGAAGAGATAATTTCTGAATATTAAATCAAATATTTAAAATGTTTCATACTTTTAATGCTCTTCTATATCAATATATCTTACTTAAAGATAGCTTAAAGTAATATAACATGTATAATTTTTCTTTTATTCAACATTCGACATATTAACATTACAATCGATATGATAATGGGGAGATATTATATTCTATATGGAACTTTTCGCCTTGACTGACATATCTTCATAGTATTTCTTCGAATAAAATTATCAATGTAACAAAGAGAATAGACCTTCCACAAGCCTTGTCAAATCAAAAACCAATTAAAAGATTTCCCGCCAAGCAAAACAATCGTCGGCAATCAGGCAAGAAGCCCCAGAAGAAAGACCAATCAATTTAGAGATGTCCTCTGTCGCCATCTTCTGCCCTTCGATGCTCATGGAGGCCGCAATTTTGCCATTTTGCCACTTTGGCATTTTACCATTTTCCCCAGCATTTCGCCATCGATGACACTTTTCCGCAGCCTAAACCTTGGAAAATTGACTTGCCATTGCAGGAGCCACCAGCAGCAGCAGCAGCAGCAGCATCAGCCGGACAGACAGCCATTGATATGCACCTGCAGCAGTCCAAATGGACAGCATCATTCCCACTCCACCGGCTACGGACTACCCGCCGCCAGCTCCGCCCGCAGTCGCAGTGTTCCGGAGGGATTGTCCACCATGTCGCAGCAGTGTAACTGCCGGCACGGCCCGGGAATGGGAGTGGGAGTGGGAGTGGGAATGGGAGGACACACGGGACCCACGCGAGAGTTCATCTACGTGCCGCATGCCTACGCCTCCCTGCAAAGGACACCGCATCGTCACAGCCAGGGGATGGGTTCAGGCTCGGGCTCGGCTCCAGGATCGGGTGCGGGTGGGGGTACGGGAGCAGGAGCAGGAGCCGCTCCTGGTGCCCCTTGCTCGGCATTGCGAAACAATCCTCAATGCCGACTGAAGCGCTCCCAATCGCTGTGCCGACCCACAGCGGTGCAGTTTGTGGAGCAAATCACCACGTCTGTATAAGGAAAAGCCTGCGGAAAACAGGGGAAAGCCACTTGGGCGAAAAATCTAGCTGAAATCTAGCAAAAGGATTTTTGAAAATCTATTTCTTATCAGTTTTATTGGGAAGTGTTTTAGTTTTGAAGTTTCATTAGTATTTTTGTTCTGGTTCAAACAATATTTAAATAAGAGCTAGATCGCTAAGGACATGCTTGACCTCAGAAAATCTAAAGAAATTCAAATGAGATTTTGTTTTATTTTTTAAATTGTTAAGAGAAGGTTTTGTCTCTGCTCATGTATAAATTTTTACTTATATCAATTAAAAGTCCGAAAATAAGAACTCATAGCAATCATATCATATTTTTACTATGTTCCGTATGTTTATAAATGAAGAAGTATTCTCTAATATATGTAGTTTTGCTCCATTCATTTTTTTGCTAAATTTCAGCATTATTTTTCTCCAAGTGCATGCCCTGTGGGGCAAGGCAAACAGAACAAAGAAAAATCGAAGCCTCCGCGCAACAATTGGGTCCTATAAAACTTATATTTTGGTATTATGGCCCCCCACCCACACCCGCACACCCGTACACACACACTCACCCCCAGGCACACCCACACACACACACACACACACGACTACGTGAATCGCATGCAGAATTTGTCAGATCTCTTCTAGTCCTCTTTGTCGTAGCTCTAGCTCTACTTAGAAATGTAAACTTAAAACGAAAGTGTAACTGAAATCCCACAACAAACAAACAAAGAAACGAAACGAAACTCGATGAATTTTTCACTCACAAAAAAGTCCCCCATTACGAGGATGAAATTTTTACTCATTAGCATTTATACATATATATATGGTATATATGCTATATATATTATAGGGATAACAGACAGACGCAAAAGCTTTATCTTTGTCTCAACAACTGAGTATTCAAATGATGGCCAATACATAAATATTTATGAGATAATTCAATCGAAAGCAGAAAAACTTCTTAAATGGTCCATTTTATATATGAAAATGTGCATACACTTAACCACCGAATACCGAATACCGATTACCGATTACCGAAAGACGCAGATGTGTGTATATATAAATATATATATACATATGCAGATGAAGTCGATCCAATTAAAGGACTCGTCCCCGAGGAGGGCAAGGCTGAGTATCCTGAGCCGTTGTCGGGGCCATCGCTGATTGTCCTGTCGGCGCAGTACTTTATTTTTCAATAACAATTATATATTGCATAATTAAGAGGCGTTTAACGGGAAATGGAAATTACTTTTGCCCAACACACGAGGGCGAGTGCGAGCCTTATTTTTCAATCGAAATGAAGCATATGAAATAATAATGATTACCGATATGATAGAACCATAATTAATTGATGCTGGCAGCTCAATTATCGCAGGGGAAGTGGTCAGCAGAGGATGTGTAATCCCCAAATGGATAACTAATAAAAAACACACAGTATAAATAACACCACACAAAAAAAAAAAAAAAAACGAACGAAATAGGAAAACAATTTGCAAATCATTAGGAATTCATAACAAAAAAAGGATAACAGAAATCATGTGAAAATTCCGAAACAGAATCAGCTGCATAATCAGCTAAATAACAAAAATCCATACTAAAACTAAAGAAAATTTAAAAAAAGCTAGAGCCAGGTGGCAAAATAAACAGAATAAATAAAGCATTTGCGAGAATAAACAAGAAAATAATACATGAAAAGTCAACAGAGAGTAAAAAACGAATCGTAAAGTGAATATTTAAAACAAGCTAGTTAAATGGCCAATTTCAAAATAAAACAAAAGACAACATTAAAACAGTATGTCAAAGAAACAAAAACCGAAAATCTAATGGAAACCGAAAAACCAATTTATATAAAATTTGCAAACGAATGAAAAGAAAATACAAATTTATAAAATTTCACCATCGATTGGATAAGCTAGAAAAAACCTCCTCCCTTGTGTACATATATACAGAATTTCCCCAATGAAAATCCTCACACAAATAAATACTCAAGAAGGAAGCCAACAACTGCCATAAATGCAATAAAAGAAACCAATTTACATATATTTATATTTATATTTAAAGGCATCTATAAAAATTCTTCTTTAGACAAATTTCTTAACTCCTTTTTCACGGTCATTAAAATAAATTAGACCCACACACACACACTCTCCCTTCCTCTTTTCGCCAATTGTGTTCAGCGAAAACAAAATGTAGCATTAAATAATATTAGCCCCCCCCCCAAAAAAAAAAAACCAACAAGCATATCTATGTGCCAAATGAAAAACCATAAACTATTTGAAACTTACCAACTTAAGGTACAACAACTCGTAGCTAAAACAATTTTTATCTGTTTGGGGGTCTTTAGATACGTGCAATTTTTTCAGAGAAAAAACAAAAACCAACCTAAGGCAAAACTCACATTTGTAACTCTTTATCATTAGTAGTTTAGTGTGATAAATGTTAATAAAGAAACCATAAACGAGAGACAAGCTTCCCTTTTGGCATTTCAATTCAATTCAATTTGTGTCTTAACTGGGGGGAAAAGCCCGGAAAAACCCTTTTTGGCCAGCCGCAAAATCTCCGGAAGCTAAGCTAAGGCAGGATAAATAATAAAACTTTGCATTTATTACGTGCTAAAATTTAATAAACAGGTTCAACGACAGTGTGAATGTCATATTTCATTTATTAATTAATGGCATTAACATAAAGCGTCAATTTGTGCCTTCCACACGGATCCGCAATCCCCGAAACCCATCCATAAAAGAAGAGGCAACGCCACTCTAAAGCCGGGGCGATTAAAAAGTTTATCCTAGGCAAAGTCAAGACCGCTCTTAATGTTGCATATATTGTGTGCACATAACCCCGGGCAACCCCATTACGGAACGTGCCTAGACTGTAAACAGTCGCCCTGGGAGTGAATCCTCAGACACAGGACAGCATACACATACAAAACATACACCACACACACACACTTCGCGCACAACAATTCCGCACAGCGTCAATGACATGCTCAATTTTTCATGCATTATGCCGGGGCCTACGGTGCGTATGCTTGATATTTGCCTCAATATCGGGCCCGAAAGCACATTTAAGCCGCCGAAGCAGAAGCCAAAAGCTGATGCCGATGCTGAATCAGAATATTTGCGTAGCCAGGGCGAGAAACTTTACAGCCAGTCCATAGTCGACACAGAGCCCATGGCCGAAAAGCCATAAGACAATTTGCTGCTAGCTTACATACTGACACTGGGAGAAATACTCCACAGAAAAGGGGTAAGTAAATTCTACAGTTCAATCATATTCGATTATATTGTGTATAAGACTTGCTTCAGCATTTATCTATAATCTTTATAGGATTCTTAGAGGAAAAGGAACTTCTTCATGAACCCTATATGGTTCATAAATGTTTATAAAAATTATAGAAATATATATATGTAAGAAAACAATTTTCTCAGTGCCTTCAAACTCATACATTCACGCTAGATACACACACCCATGGCGATGGTTTATCTTGGGGATATATAGTAGGCACGAGAGCTGGGGATGATTTCGTTGCTATTTCGGCTGTCGGAATTGTGGGCTTTGAGCAAACACCGAGAAACGGAAACTATCGTCTACTATATTGAGGAAATGGTTAAAGGCAGCGCGGTCGTCTGGCATTTCGGGTTACATAACTGATTAAAGATTGGCCTGGCTTATGGGGATATATGTGGTAAGATGTGGTAAGAGATTGGGCCCGGGGCCAACCTCTCGTGTCAACTTGTTGACTAAGCAAAGTTCGCCCCACAATATGAGTTATGATTTACTCAGCTCTTAAAAAAGGCAAGAAGACAATGATAGGGGGAATTGCCTTTCAACGCCTCCTATTTGGACAAGAAAAAGATAACGTAACATATATACTGATACTTGGCTGTCATCTATCACTGCTATTGATCATTATTAATTAGTTTCACACAAAAATGGAGTTGGATTAAGTATTGGTGATTTAATCAAAGGCTTTGGTAGAATTAAAACAAAGAAAATGAGTTTGGAATATTTTCAAGATGAAATAAACCCGCGAACCCGAAATATATATACCCTTGCCAAGAAAATCAGTCATAACTAGGTCAAAAATGCATTAATTTTAATTCGGAAAGCTCTTTAATGTTAGTTTTTGTTAGGTTAATAAATCTACATACTCAATTTAAAAATTCAAAATTTTTAAAATTATTGTGCATTTTTGACAATTTTAATGATGTAACAAATTATAAAATATTCAAAACTTTGAAAAAAATTAAATTTTTGCCGGACATAGCTAGATCGATTCAGCTTTTGACCCTAATTAAGAATGTATGTATATAGTTTAAGGGGTCGGAAATGATTCCTTCACTGCGTTTTAAGCTTTTGACTGAAATTAGAATTCTCCTAAATTTAAATATTTAACCAAAAATTTTATATGATAATTTTTGGGAAAAGTGAATCTTAAAAATACAAAAACTAGGCCAAACATGCATTAATTTTAATTTGGAAAGCTGTTCTGTGCTAGTTTTTACAGGGTTATCAAATCTGTATTTAGAATTTTAAAATTTTATAAATTTAATTTTTTGTCAAATTTGGACACTTTGACAATGCCCATTTTTTACGATAAAATTTTAGTAAAAATGTTCAAATTTTTTTTTTCTTCGTAAGATGGCTAGATTGACTCGGCTTATCATGCTGATCAAGAATATATATTATAGGGTCGGAAACGACTCCTTTACTTCGTTTTAAGCTTCTGACTAAAATAATAATGCCCTAAAAGCTTAAAAAAGTGCCTATTCAGAACGACACTACCATTTTAATAAAAAGAACCCCGACTTCTACCACAACTTAAAGATTATCACGTCTTTTAAGAACCGCAATAACAAATCCCACCTTGGAAATTTCGTCAGCCGGCAAAATGAATCTTCAAACGTTTTATATGCGTCCTAATACCATAAAGCAGGCCAAAATTCGTGGCTTTGGCCCTGTTGTAACTGTTGTAATTTTGTTATGACCATCACCAATCTCCACTCTCTTGGCATCCTAATTCCCGCAATTCCGTGCCCCTGAAAGTATGCCAAAGGAAATTTCAGAGTAATTTAGTGAAATGCTGCAATGGCAGCGCTCCAGCTTCCGTCTGGGCTTTGTTCTTTCATTTTGTGTGGCAGATATCTCAAGCAAATTAACCTAACTACTCCTAATACCACGCTTTCCCATTTCCCATTTTCCTCTTCCCAACAACGCACACAAGAGGACACACAAAACCCAATTAAATTCTTCCGCAAAAGCATAAAAGCTTCGTTGCTTCGATTAAAGCTAGCCCCAGGATGATAAGTGCAGGGGTTACACAGAGGAAAAATATAGAACCCCAATGGGAATACTCGTAGGAGGTTATCAGGGTTTCGGACTTTAAGTCCTTTATGAAGTATTATAGAAAGGGAGTTTATCTGCGGGATTTATTGTGGAATAGAACTGGGGGACAGCCATTTGGCGTTATTTGAAAGTTTGAAAAGAACATAAGTTAAGAAGTTAACATAAATTAAGGAAGTAAGTAACTATGATGAATTCATAGCTATGATCAGTAAGTATCAATGAAAAGTAAGTAACTCTGACCAGGAAGTAACTTTGACCACGAAGCATCAATGACCAGTAAGTATCTATAAACACTAATAAACAATGACTTGCAACTTTTGTAACACAACAGATTTCTGACCCTTGGCCAGCAGAAGTCACTTCGCTCCAGGGATGTTTGAACCAGTTGGGAATCATATGTACACATGTGCGACATTTGTTTTGGAACAAATTTAAGAGCAAGCTATTTGAATGAATCTATGGAGTTATTCTTCTATATAATTTTACTAGTGCATAATTCGGAGCATGGAAAATCGGTGGACTATATATATACGTATGTATACATAGCTGCCATAGGAACGATCGGACGATTTATAGAACTATGATCAGTAATTAACTATGACCAGTAATTAACTATGATTAGAAAGTAACTATGAGCAGTAAGTAACTCTGAACAGTAAGTATCTGTGACCAGTAAGTAACTACGATCAATAAGTATCTATGACTAGTAAGTATGTATGATTAGTTACTTACTTTGAACACTAATAAACAATGACTTGCAACTTTTGTAACACAACACATATGCAAGACTTGGCCGGCAGAAGTCCCTTCGTTCCGGGGATGCTAGAACCATTTGGGAATCATAAGCACACGTATGCGAGATTTGTTTTGGAACAAATTTAAGAGAAAGCTATTTGAATGAAACTACGGTGCTAGTCTTCTATATCTTACCTATATCGTATAGCTGCCATTCAAACGATCGTTAAAACTGGAGGAAATATTAATTTAAGCATTATTTTAAATAAATATTTTTTAAGTAACTTTTTATAGGAAATTATACATATATGTTAATATATGTTAATACTACTAATAAGTAGGGTTTTAGGAAATATAAGCCTTATTTGTTTGTTTTTATTTCCAAAACTAAATAAAAAAGGATTGTGAAAAATAAAGAAAATGTTGCTGCTGTTTAGAAAGTGTTGTCCCTTCCATTATTATTGTAAAACTTTACTTTATTTACTTCGTTTATCAGAACAATTTACTTTTAATTGTCATCATTATTTTTACTACGTTTAGAACTGTTTCTTGTTTTGTTCTGTGTATATTTTGGTTAGACATGTTTTTGCTTTGAGCCAGACATGGAAGCCGTGTGAAGTCAACTTTTGTGGACGCCTCGAACGCGTTCTAAGTGAAATTTAGCCGCTGGCTACGTGATGATGCTCCTGCTCCTGCTCCTGCTCCTGATGCTGTTGTTGCTTCTGTTCCCGCTGCTTGATTTGGCTGCATGGGTCCCTAGCATGTCCTGGCCGACTGTCTGCCTTGTTGACATACGTCCTGCTGCCTGCTGCCTCCTGTCATGCGCAAGAAACGCACGCTCTGCTGCCTACTTCCAGGCGTTTCATTGTTGCGCTTTTCGCAGCCACAGCTTCCTCACACACACACACACACGCACACCCCCTCCCAACACAGATGCCGAACATCTGTTTTATGTTTGCCTTGCTTCCAGGGAAACTCTCTTAAATACATTTTTGGGGAAAACTACGCTTGCTCGCTCTCCTCTCTCTCTATCTCTCCATCTCTCTCGGTGTGCGTGGAAAATGCGAACTCAGTCGAATTCTCGGTTTCTCAGCTTCAGTTCCAGCATCAGCGCCAGCGAGTGAGGAGCGACTGCTTTGGAGACCGGAAAAATCCGTGAAAAACTGTCGGGGTTATTCAAGCCACGCAGCAGGACACACACACGTATACGCACACTAAAGTCCTGGCAAACTAAGGGGAAAACCCAGCGAAAAGGAGCCAGCACAGCGGAATTTTAAAGAACAATTAACACACAAGGCGTCAGCTATCCCCGAGAAAAATAAACGCTGAAATTATTGAAATAAAAAGGAAAGCCAGCTATGGGGAAAAAGCGTGGACACTGCGTTTTTCCAACGGCTCTGGCTTTGGGCTTTTTCCGTCGTTTTTTGGCCAGCGCGAATATCGATTGCTGCTGCTGCTGCTGCTGCTGACTGCCTTGCATAAGTCCAAAAAGGGAGATTAGTATACAAACGCAGGCAGTCCGGAGGAGCGGAGCCAGGTGCCAGGACGCAGGACGCAGGACGCAGGACGAAAGCTCAAAAGGCCCAATTCAAATGACATCGAACTCGCACTCGCACTCGCAATCGTAGTAATTAAGTTTTTTAATCAACAAATATCTGGTGGAGCCGAGAGATGGAGATGGAGCAGCTGTCTAGCCCAGACAATTGACGTGGAAACAGGAGTAAAGAGCTACAAGGAGCTACGCCCTACAAAGGGAACGCGACTCCCTCGATATACATCTATATATATATATACATAAATTGAATTCCGAGGAATATCCGTGAACTATTCTAGACCTACGCGTGTGTGTGTGCTTTCATTTTCCATTTTCATTCCCTTTGTTGCTGTGTGAAAATGGATATTGCCTTGCGCGGCACAAACACAGCAGCAGCAGGAGCATCATCATCAACAACAACGACGACTGGCACTGGCACTGGCACTGGTAAGTCCTTGGAGGGTCCTGCGAGTCGTCCTCCGATTCCCACGGTAATCACATCTTTTATGTGCGCTGTGTTTTATTCTCGCCAAAGTGAAACAAGCAAACATTTCATTTGCAGGTCTGCATCATGCTGTGTCATTGGGCAACATTGAGGTCTCCGCCAAGGTTCGTACTCGTACCCAGCACCCAAGACAACCAAGACATTAACAGGGAAAACTCACAAGGAAACACCACAAGAAAACTCACAAGAACGCACCACAAAGTGTGCGGCGAACAGAAATTAATTCCTGTCAAGGCAGAAAGCGCGTCCAGGGAAGCATTTAAGTGGCGCTCCTGTCATACCGAATGATTGACACAATTATTTTAGTATAAATCTGGAGGACAGGGCAGAGCAGTCAGGGACTGGAAGGACCAAGGACAGGGCTCAGCATGGGAGTGACTGGAGAAATTAGAAGAGCTTAAGATAGGGCAACGAGGAGCTACAGAAAGAAATTGAGGGATTAGATAAGATTAGCAGTGCAGGGAGTGAGTAAAAGGATGGATAAAGGTAATAAAACTATTTAGATCGTGAGGGCATATATAAAAATATGAAAATTTTTTCACAGTTCAAAGTTTAACAATCTCATAGCTAAGCCAAAACAGCATATAATTTAATTCCGAAACCGTTCCTATGTTAGTTTTTGTTAGGTTAATAAGTCTGCATACTCGATTTAAAAGTTTAAAATTGTTAAAATTTTTGCACATTTTTGACAATTTTAACGGTGAAAAAACCCCTTATAAAATTTCCTAAAGATATTTATAAGAAGTTTACGTAAATATTTATAGTTTGTGAAACGCAGTTATTTATTTGTAATCAAGAGGATCAATGTGCATTTATACGTAATATTCATATGAACATCTTTAAAAGAGAACACAGCTAGACTGGGTGATCAAGGCGTATACGTAATATTTAAAAAATATTCTTATAAAATACGACTGAAATGAGAGATACAAGATAGATATACTTAACTTTTTACATCGTTTTTGTATTAATAACTCATAAAAAATACAGATTTGTTTAGTCAAAATCAAGGTAATTAGGGCGTATACGTAATATAACAAAATGTTACACAGGACGTATACGTAATATTTCCTATTTGTTTTTTACTTAACAAATATTGAATTGTTAATATGGTTTCTTTTTTATATGGTCTATATATTAAACAAAAGTGGTACACGTGGCGTATACGTAATATAACAAATTTTCACACAAGACGTATACGTAATATTTTTTATTTGTTTTCCTTTTTTTGGTTAGCAACAACAACTGAATATTTTATGTATTATAATATATGGTATATATATATATACTAATACAAAGGTGTTGAAGACGTATACGTAATATTGCAAAATATTTTGAATATTGCGTATATGTAATATTTTAAATATTTTGAGACTCAACGAATTCTTAACGAACTTAAAACAACAAACTACAATGAAGTATCTAAAGGTGCTAGTTATAAACATAATACTAACTAATATGCCTCATAAAACATCCATCCCTCTTACACTTGAAGTAGTAACTTTTAAAGAAATTTAGCTTAATTTTCTTAAAATTTAATCCTTCTACAAAATTTTAATTATTATCTCCCACTCAGGCCACCTACTCCAGCCACATGGACCGCAGCTACGACTCCGAAGACGAGCACACTGGACGCCGCAGACTACGCCACACTCTCTCCACCGAGCTACAACCTCGCACTTCTGTCTACTCCCGGGGAGATATTAGGGAACAGGTAAGCCTTCAGCTTGAATAAGAAGTATATATATTATTTTTAATACATATTCTAATTATTTGCTATGCAGTACTGCCTCACAGATCGGCAGCTGCACAGCATAGAGCAGCGTCCCAGGAGGGAGCGATTTTTTGGCTGCCTTTCGCGACGGGGTCAAACCCAATCGGGCAGCTTCCTGGGCGGCTGTGTGGGTCGCCGGGTGCCCTCCGATGAAAATCTGGCCGCCTATGCCCCCTTTGAGAAGTATCCACGGTGAGTGAGGAGGGATTTATTTAATACGTTAATTATTTACTTATTATTTATTGTTGTGCTGCAGCTATCAGAACAACTATACGGACACACACGAATTGGAAAGTTCCTATTTTCGCCGTCAGCCGGCATCGATTTTGAGCACTGGTAAATCGGTGGAAGCGGACCTGGGGGGTCGCTACACCTGGATTGGTCAGCAGACGAACAACAACTCCGATTACTCAACGGACCACAGGTATGTCGGACACAGCAAAAAGGAGAAAACATGTTTAAAAAGACCTCAAAAACCAATATTAAAAACTCCGTAAAATGCTATGCCAACTGTCGCTTAGATCATGCTATACTATACTGTCGCACTATCTGTCGCATTTGTAGACTGTCGCTACCCTATTCTTCCGATATATAAATCTATATATATATATACTGCAAAGCTTGCCTGAACTTTCCACCCAACAGAAACACTCATTGCATAATGCCGCTTCTTGCCTCTTGAACTCTACTTGAACTACTCGAAAAAGCCACCTAGAAATGTATAAAAAATACTCTTTTCGTTATTCATCCACCTGTCCTCCTTTTCTCCTCAAAACGACTGTAAAAATCAACCAAATCAAACAATTGATATTGCCAAAAAATTAAAAAAAAACTAAAATAAAACCCTAACCAACCCAAAAACTTAAATGAAAAATCAAATAAAATTATGTGTAAAGGGCAACTTGTTGTACAGCACCACTTGAATCCTTTTACCAGGATGTTTTGCTACGGAATTATTATGTCGAGCTTCGCGCTCCACCAAATCCTACACCACCAACATCACACACCAATCAAATCGCTAATCTAAATGTTTGGTATGTAAAGTGATATTTAAAAAAAGAACTAACTAAATATATATAAACTTTAAATAAGCTATAAATATGAATACTGCTAAAGCAAGGAACGATTCTATTTAAAAACCAGTGAGCTAATCGAAAAATGTTTTTATTTATGTTATGTGTCTGCACGTGACCGAAGCAACAATAAATGAATTCAAACTCAAATTTTAAACTTCAAATAAATTTAAAGGAAATGTAATGTAATGTTTGTGTTTCTGCTGCAAGTCCTTTCGAGGGAATTCCCTTAACATGCCATTGATGTGCTTGCTCTCCACAGCTCGTATCACTGCCCCACATACGCCACGATGCCAACCACACACCACCAGCACCACCACCACCAACAGCACCCGCAGCAGCAGTCGCAGCAGGGAGGGAATGTCAGGTAAAGCCCCTGAACACAATTTCCCAGAAATATGCTCCATTTTCCTTTCCTTTTCAGGACGAAACACGTGAGCTTCGCCAGGTCGCACACCCTCACCAGCTTCGACAATGTCAATGCCGGCTTTCGATCCTCGGGGCGCTTGAAGACAGCCCGCAGCCAGGAGCGTTTAATTGGTGGCAAGAAACCCATTATAGCCACAGGCTCCATGTACGAGACCCTGCAGCCACCGCTCCTCCAGGGCCAGCAGCAGCAGCACCAGGTGCAGGTGCCACAACAGAGCTCGACGCTGCCCAAGACCTGGTTGCCACCGCCAGTACAGCTCCAGTCCTGCCAGCATCATCATGCTCCGATTCATCTGCATCAGCCCATGCCAGGTAAGGGAAAATTCTTAATTCTTTAAATTACTTTAGATATTATTTTCCCTCCCTTTTCCCAGACAACATGGTTGGGCTGATCATCCCGCAGCCTTTGCCCCTGGCTCTCCCACTGCCCAGTCCCGAAGTGCTCATTGTGGAGAAAAAGTTCCGCAATGCCATGAAGACCCAGGCCACACAAACGGATGCCGCTGCTCGTCGTAATCAGGGCCAAGTTGGCTATAATACCCAAGTCTTGGCCCTAAGTCCCCGGCCGCCGCATCGCATCAAGGTCGTGTCCCAGGGCGCCCAGACGAATGGCCTTCAGAATGGCAAGAAGCTAACGAAAAGTCTCTCGGAGATACCCAATGGCAAGGAGGTGCAATCACATTACTATCAACAGGGGTAAGATTTGAATATTAAATTCATTCGAGTTGAAACTAGAATTGTTTCTCCTACCATTAAGGTCGATTTACCCCCACGAGATGATCTACCGCACTCAGTCGCAGGATGTGACCCCGCTGCAAACCCTCTCGGATGCCCAGAACAACATCATGTACTACAAGCCACCGCCACCTCTGCTGGATGCTCACAGCTATGGCCTGGGCATGGAGCACCTGAGTCGCGGAGCTCGACCCCCGGCCTCCGAGCAGAGCGTGGAGTATGTGAATGTGAATGCCGCCGCCGTGGCTCTGAACGAGAGCTTCGACTACGAGAGCAACAGTTTGCCCCGAAGAGCCTGCACCTCGCATGTCCGGACGGAGACGGACTACTATTCGAATAGCTTGCCCAGGAGACCGGAGAGTCTGCATAGCCACGACGTGTGTAAGCATATCACCGAGTGCTCCGAACTCATCACGGATAGCGTTCCCCTGGACTTTACCCAGTCGCACCTGCTGCCGCCACCGAGTGAGTACTGCAGGAATGATGACAACGAGGAGGAGTACTACGACGACGAGGACGAGGAGGATCATCCCCATGAGACGGAGAGCTACAGCTCGGAGGTGTGCCTGGAGCAGGCGGCGGCCGCTCAGAACCGCCGGATGTCCATGATACCGCAAATGATTGATTCTCCCTTCCGGCGCGATGACATCCGACGTCAGTCTATGCCGGTGTATGGACAAACGGAGAAGCTCATCGATGGCTTTGGACCCAGGACATCGTTCCGAAGGCGTGACAAGGTCAGCTGCTTTGCGGATGAGACGCCTCCGCCGCCGGCATCAGCATCCTCGGTTCGGGAACAGGAGCAGGAGATCTTCATAGACTTCAAGCCGCATGTCTCCCCCAAGCCGAGTCCCAAGCTGCAGCTGAAGCACCGCAAGCAGCACAAGGCGGAGATAGCCATGAGGAAGATGCAGCAGCAGAGAATGGCCCAGGCGGCGGCCCTGACCCTGCCGAAGCTCAAGCCACAGCCGCAGCCACTGCCAGTCGAAGTTGAGGTTAGAAAAGTTGAACTTGAGCCCAGCGACGACGAGGAGGACGAGGAGGAGGAAGAGGAGGAGGAGGCCTCCGAGCCTGAACGGGAGGAGCTGGACGAGGAGGAACTGGACGATAAGCTGGAAATGGATCATCCGGAGGATGAGGAGCCGCTCTACGAGAACATAACTCCGTGCAACTGCAAGGTGGAGCCACAGCATCCAGATCTCGAGGATCACCAGGACAAGCGCTCTCAGTTCCGTAAGCGTTCCGTGAGCCTGGACGATGACGATACTTCCGGAGCTCCTCCTCCGTCTGCGTCCGGCCTGCGTCTGCCCTCCACGCCGGCCAGCCCCAGCCGGGAGGACCTGCTGCTGGCCAATGTCTCAACTTATCCATCCTCAGACTCACTGGCCAATGACAATACCCGCGATCATTCCGACGGCATCTGGAATGAGTCGCAGGTTACTGTCTTGACGGCCGAGCAGCGCGACATCTCCGATGGCTCCTACAGCTCCAATTTATTGCTAACGCCATCCTCGAAAAGGAAGAATCTGCTACTGCAGCATCAGCAGAGGAGCTCTGTGGACACCGACGCCTTGGATTTTGAAGAGCAGGTAGGAAATAGTCGAGGATTTATTGATTCTTAAATTACATCTTCCTGTCTACCCCATTAGAGTCCCACCTATGGCCTACAAACACTGCCGAAGATCGTGAGAACGCCCACGCCAACCACTTCGCGGCCCGCCTCCACTCAACCCCTGATACCGCCGCCAGCTATAGCCGTCACTCCCTCATCGAACCAGAACCAGGCTGTCCTGGACACCTCCATAAGTTCGCCCCTGCCCAAGCGAAGCCTGGTGGCCAGGGGTTCGGTTCCGGATGCCCGACAGCTAATGTTTATGGGAGGAGCTGCCAAGCAAAGGTGCTTACGAGTTACAAGGGTTTTTGCTAATGAGAAAATCAGAAAGACTATTATTTCCCTTATATTCCAACAGACACTCGGATGCCTCCTTCCTGCCCACCACTGCTGCTGGTGGCGGAACTCGCAGTGCCGATATCTCCGAGTGCAGCACAAATACAGATGAGTATGCCACCTGCACGGACACCTCGAAACGTACACCAGGTATTAAGACACCGCCGACGACGACCAGTTCCTCGTCGACCACACAAGTTCCAGGTTTGGGGTTTCCCGATAATTCGTACTGTGTGTACTGTGTGTGTGTGTGCGTGTGTAGAAATCGCCTCGATCCATGAACCACTCACATATATTTCATGATTACAGCTGAGATAGATTTTAAGCCGCCCGCCCATAAATAGCTTCTAGAACGTAGACTCATCTACACATCCTCCACAACTGACTCTCTTTCTCTGTTTAACTTTCGCTACCTGTCTCTCTCCTTAGTTTAATGTTGTTGCCTTGCTCGCCAATGCTTTAGCTGTTCCTCTAGAGATATCCTTGAAGCCACAACTAACTGAGCCCTAATGCTTCCCCTCTCTTTGACAGTTTCCACGCAGAGCTCGCAGCTGGAGAAGACGCATGCCGGTAGTTCCTTCGAGAGTGCCAGTTCCTTGTACTCCATGCGGGAGGATCTCCTGCAGCACGATGAGAAGGAGCGGCAGGCCAAGAACCAACTGAAATCCCCCATGGGCGGATCGGTGGCAGAGTTGACAAGGAAATCCCCCTCGCACTCGATCAGTAGCACAACCTCCTCGGGCAGTTGTCCTGTCTCGGGTGCTGCCATCAAGTCGCCGGGCAAGGAGAGTCAGCCCCAGACGGTGTCCAGCTCCTCGATGGCGCCTCAAATGAAGGTCAGCACGGCGGAGAGATCGCCCGTGGTGAAGCCCAAGCCCGATTCCATCTCCGAAGATGAGCGCAGCGAGGTGCGTTACTCCTCTTCTGGATATTACGAGAGTCCCCACGACGAGGATGACGAGGAGCAGGTGATGCGGAACAAGGCCCGACGTCTGCGCCACGAGGACGAGCGAAAGCGACGCAAGACCAGCATGAAGCTGGACATCGAGAAGGAGAATATGAGGGCCTTGACCAGTCCCATTAAGAAACCAACTGCCGGAGGAGTGGGAAAAGTTCAGTCACCAGAGCAGCCCAGCACCAATAACCTGGACAATGGAAGTCCCAGCAGCAGGATGAAGCGCTTCCGACCCAAGATACGACGTCAGCTGAGGAAGAGCTCGCGAGAAGATGTCCTGGCAACGGCAACGACCGCAGGACGCAGAAGTCGGACCATGCCACCCACAATTTTTGGCCTGAGCAGCGGCAGCGGAGACACGGAGCTCCTGTTAGATGCCAGCATGTCCAGTGGTGCCCTAGCGGGAACCACATCCCTGTCCACCACCACAACTGCCATGATTTCCTCTTCCCTCACACTCAAAGGAACCGTTTCGGAAACCATAGCCTCTTCATCCCCGCTACCAGAGGCCACGACCTCGACAGTGGTGAAGAAACCTCACAGCTGTGCCACTCCCACAGCCCTGCTTTCTCCTAAACTGCCTACTGTGAGCAGCACCCAGTCAAAGTCTACCTCGGACACTTTCCAGCTGAAGGCCAAGTCCATTGAATCCCTGCGCTCCGTGTCACCCGGCTCCGATTCGGTGTTCTACAGCGAGGCCGATGGCAATGCGGCAAGTGCCGCCGATCAGAGTCACTGCCTCCACTGCGGCAAGGAAATGGAGGGTGGCAAGCAGCAGAGCCACCAGAATACCATCAGCGAACTGGCCGGTGATTCCGTGGAATCGATACCCTACATCGAGCAGGACATTGTCAAGCCGCCGTCGGACTTTGCCGACTCGCCAGTGACCACCAAGACCACGCAGCGTCTGTACAAGAAGATGGACAAGAGATTCCGATCGGAGGAGCGTTACCACGGCGAAAGGGGCAGGCACTACAAGACCAGACAGGAAAATATCAGAGCCAAGGTTTGGATATATACTTTCTAAAATGTTTAACATTTCAATGTAAATAGAAAATATCATTTTTAGAGCGAAGAACGCGGACGCGTACCCAGCTTGCCCAATACTCCTGTCCTGCGTCCTGCCGGCTCTAGTCCCTGTGTCCTTCCTGATATCAACACGGAACAGAGCCAGCACATCATCTACAAGGGACACTACGACGCTGGCCGATATACAAGACTCACTGACGATGATTTGTGGACTCAATTGGATCATCAGTGCTTTGGTGAGTGGAGGGGGTATTAAAGATATTTAACTAAATTTTAATATTATAATTTTTGGGAAAATTTAATCTTAAAAATACAATAACTTAATCTTAAAAATACAATATTAATTTCAATTCGGAAAAGTGTTCTGTGCTAGTTTTTATATGGTTAACAAATCTGCATTATGAGTTTTAAATTTAAAGCAAATTAAAAATTTGTCAAATTTTGACATTTTAACAATGTCAATTTTTTACTATAAAATTTTAGAAAAAATTTTCAAATTTTATTTTTCTTCCAAAGATGGCTAGATCGATTTGGCTTTTCATGCTGACCAAGAATATATATGATTTATAGGGTCGGAAATGATTCCTTCACTGTGTTTTCAGCTTCTGACTGATATTATAATATTATTTTTAAGTTAATATTTATCGATGTATTTATATGGAAATTTTTCCAACACATTGAAATTTGAAAAACTCATAACTAAACCAAAAATGCATAAATTTTAATTCGGAAAGCTGTTCTGTGCTAGTTTTTATAGGGTTAACAAATCTGCATATTGAGTTTTAAATTTAAAGCAAATTTAAATTTTGTCAAATTTTCTTATTTTGACAATAACAATTTTTAAGGGGGAAAAAATTGAGAAAAAAATTTAAAATTTTTTTTACTTACAACATGGCTAAATAGATTCGGCTTTTTATGCTGATTAAGAATATATATGATTTATAGGGTCGGAAGTTATTCCTTCATAGCGTTTTAAGCTTCTGACTGAAATTATGAAGCCCTTTAAGGGTATAATTACAACTGTGCGTATACGTAATATTTTGGGACTATAAATGCCTGAAATAAAATTAAAAGGTGCTCTTTTTGGCACGTAGAAATTTGTATTTTGCTGCCGTTTGCATAAAATATTAGCATATTTATTATATAATATAATATATATATTATATATATGATTTATAGGATCGGAAATGATTCTTTCCACCGCGTTAATAGCTTGCAAATGTATCTTTGACTTTCTAATATACTTAATGTTTGTTAAAATTTCATTCTTAATACTTAGTTAATTAATAAATAAATATATTTCCCCAACAGATCGTTCCCGTGAGCGTCGTGCTTCCACGGAATCGGAGAAGGGCTTCCATGCCAAATACCAGGTGATCCTCCATCGTCTCGTCCAGCGGCGCTGCACCCTGGAGATGTACCATCGCCAGAAGCACAATAGTTTCCGTGAGTATCGGAGCACCCTGTTCGAACATCCAACCAGAAAAATATATTCTAATTTTGGCGCCAAGAATAAAAAGAGATCGAGCTAGAGAAAAGCCCCCAAAAAGCCAGAGAGAGAGAGAGCCTCTATAGATAATGAATGGCGCTCCCTCCGACTTTTCATGACCGGCACTTGGCATATATAAATATTTATGTGTGTGTTGGAAAAGCGAGAAAAACACAAACACACACAATCTGTAGTTTTGGTAGTTTTTTTTATTTTTTGGCTCTATTATCGAGAATAGTTGAGGTGCGTGCTTTGTTGTGTGCCGACCGTAAAAAAGTCCGCAACGCGCTTAACATTTCAGTGTTTCGGTTGTGGTTTCGGGGGAATTTCAAGTTAAAACCCAATGTAAAGAGAAATAAGTGCGAAAAGCGTTGCGTTGTTTACAAATAATATTATTTCGTATTTACACACGAAACTAAAGGCCAAATGATTGGTGGGTAAACATAGACAGACATTGTGGCCGTTCCTCATCATTTGGTTTTTATTTGAATTAATTAGAATTAATAGCATCGAATTCCGCACCGGATTCGGTGCGCCGGAAGTTGGAGGAGGTCCTGAAGCTGATGCTCCTGGTTTGGGCACGGGAAAGTTTTGTGATATCCACACTTAGCAACGGTGCACATGGTAAATGATGTCCGGACGAGATCCGGAAATAAAATCACACAAATCACTTGAATCTCGCTCGCTCTCTCTGTTTCTTTTGCTCTTGCTCTCTATAAATAATACACTTTGTATACGCTTAGAGAAAAGTGTGATGTTTGTAGTTTAAATATTTGAAACACATTAATAATTCGATATATTATTTCCCAGGCGTGGACAAAACCGTGGTGGTCAAGAGTGATTCCGGTGAGTTTGGCTTTCGCATTCACGGCTCCAAGCCCGTCGTGGTAGCAGCCATCGAACCGGAGACACCGGCGGAGAGCTCTGGCCTGGAGGTGGGCGACATTATAATCTCTGTCAATGGGGTCCAGGTGCTGGACAAGCACCACACCGAGGTGGTTAAGATCGCTCACGATGGCTGCGAAAAGCTGGAGCTTCAGGTGGCACGCACCATTGGCGTTCTGATGCACGAACAGTTGGAGCCACCGAGTCAGCCGATCTTCAGTGGATATTTGTGGCGACAGAGTGGTCAGGCCAAGGGAGCTCCCAATTCCAAGAAATGGGTGCGACGATGGTTCTCCCTGAGGCCGGATAATTGTCTATACTATTATAAAACTGAAGATGTGAGTATTTACACATAAAATCCATAATGGGGAGTACATTTTAGACCCTTATTCTCATCTTTTCCAGGACTCTCAGCCCGTTGGCGCCATGATAATGGCCAAGCACACGGTGGATCTCTGTCCCGTGGATGTGGGCAAACCCTTTGCCTTCAAGGTGGATGCCGGCGAGGGTATTCCCATGTATGTGGCTGCCGATTCCGATGAGCTGGCCAATCGCTGGCTCCAGCTGCTGAGGCAGGCGGCTGCCCAGGACAACCAGTGGCTGGACAAGAGGTGAAGGACACTGATCTTAGAGAAAGGCAACCATACTAGATATTCATGTTATTCTCTCACATCACTTCCTTCACAGTGCGCGGTGCTTGTACCAGAGTCCCAGCAACATTCAGAGGCCCGATTGCTTTGGCTATTTGCTCAAATTGGGCTCAAGGTGGTGCGGCTGGTCGAAACGCTACTGCGTACTTAAGGATGCCTGCCTCTATTTTTACCAAGATGCAAATAGCAAGAGTGCATTCGGTGAGTCACGACGCCGAAGCAGGTGACTGACTGATTAATTTGTTTCAATTTTTCATTTAATTTTAATCAGGCATGGCCTGCCTGCACGGCTACAAAGTGGCCTCAATGTCCGCCAATGCGTCCGGCAAGAAGAACTCGTTCGAGATAATACCACCAGAGACGAAATTGCGTCACTACTTTTTCTGCACCGAAAGCGAAATGGATAAGAAAAGGTTGGTATTAAGTTTAAGAAACTATATCTTGAAATTTATAGAACAAAAGATTGAATACAAGTACGAATTCAAAGCACAATCTTCCTCGAAGCGGAGGCCTGTCTTAGAAGGTCCAAATAAGAATAAATAAGAAGTATAACCCCTTTTCTGATTAAGTTTACCTAAAGTATTATGTATTAAAAACACCCATTATTTGTGATTATTTCTAGATGGATATCCGCACTGGAGTACTCCATCGACCGGTGGATCAAGTCCGGGTAACTAAGGTTAAAGACACGCTCCAGATCGGCTCTGAGCAGCCGGCTCAAGCGTCGCAGTTTTAGCTACTTTATGGACTAGACACTTTGAAGGCATAAAGTTGGGACTTTCTTCGATTTGGAGACGATTTAAAGGCGATTTGATTCGGCACTAGTACGGGTACTACCAAAAAGAACAACCACACTTAGAATGTAAGCCAAGCAAACCAATTAGTTTTAGGCATACATAGATGATTGATTGCTTAGTCCAAGGAATTTAGTGGGTCTTTCAAATCGGGTTTAAAACTATTTTGAACAGAGGCGTACATACACAAATATTATATACACTCGGAATATATATCTATATACATACAATATATAGAGGAATGCAATTGAACATTTTTGGTGTGTATTCTTGTTATATAGCTTACAACAACAAAAACATATATATACAAACTTATGTTTAGTGAGGTTGTCATGTCACTTACATATATAGATTATATATATATTTAGCCGCCAAAAGCAGAAAGAATGAAAGGCGAGGGAAATGATCGTGTAGCAGACCAAAAAATTGAATTGTCTAATGTATATAGAATTCGTGTGTAGGCTAAATCCAAATTAATTGAAAGAAGGAAGGACACGATTAGGTATTCAAGGCCAGGCAATGCAAGAACCCTTTTTAGATAAATGTCTATTTACAGCAACTCACGGCGAGACCAACTAATTCGGCATTAACCAAAGTGAAATAGTTTGTTCCCGATTCTCCATAGCTGCTTCCATTACAAAAACAAAAAACAAAACAAGGCAAATAACATTTTGTGAATAAAAACAAAACAACGGTTTTCGTCCTTATTGGAAACGATTATTAGTTAGACACAATTACGATATAAGCCAAGGATTAGTTAGCGCTTTTTTGATAGGTTGGATTTTTTTAGGGAACATACACACAAAACATACACAACGTTCACAGTAGATCAAACAATAATATTAATAGAGATTATAATTCAGAATCCAGTAGTTACTTTGTCGTATTTATATATATACATATATATATATAAAAGAAACAAAGATATGATCTTTAAAATGCTGATTTCCTGATTTTTTGGGTCAGTGTTCAAAATACCGAGATTGAGTGAGGATTGTAAACAGTTTTTGAAGCTTCATTTTTTTTGGGTTTTTTAGAATACGTAACAAATATATAAATATATTTTATATATTTTAAATAGAGATTTCCAATTTCAATGCGGCGCAACAAAATGAATTAGATAATAAAATTGTATGCATTATGATTATTAATATTATTATATATATATGATATACACAAGAGACAGCCATTTTATGTTGTAAAAAGTCATCGAGACATGAAAACCAAAAACAAAAAAGAACACTAAATAAGAGCTTTAATTATTAAATAAAGAATATACCGAGAACGAATTCTAATGACGAAAGATTGTGCTGACAGGCCTGGGAGGGGGGGCATTGAAATGCATCTATAACCATCATTAATTTGACTCAACGATCCGATTCCGAATCGGATCCGACTACCTGCTGTGTTGGCCAACGAAGCATTTCGAATGCGATCAATGAACCTGTTGCCTGTTGCCTTTCGGCCCATACATGGCTGCTGACCGGCCACATGTTTTACACCGAGTTTTTCAAGTAATTTGTTTTTCCAATCGTTAAGCGATGCAAATGCAAAATATGCAAGCAGAAAAGTCCACTGCCAGACGATGAACACCCGGAGAAAATAATAGGTTGGTAAAGAGATCGATTGCCTCGCGATCGAGTCTTTTTTGTTTCAATTTTATACTTGTTACTGCTATAAAGTAAAAACTGAATTACTTTAGATTCCTTTGTTTTACTATAAATAAGTAAAATATAATTATATAAACTTACATTTTTGAAAATGGCATCGGGCACCTTGAAAGTTTAACATTGTGCGGGTATACGAGCTGAAAGAAACATTCATAAATCATAATCGGAATACTCGATAATATAAGTGCCAAAGAAACGGTTGTTAAATGTAGAGGATCAATAAATATCTTTCAACATTAAGTAACCATGAACAGTAAGTATCTATGATCAGTAATTAACTATGATCAGTAAGTATCTATGACCAGTAAGTATCTAATGATCAGTTACTAACTTTGAACACTAATAAACAATGACTTGCAACTTTTGTAACACAAAACATATGTGAGACTTGGCCGGCAGAAGTCACTTTGTTTCAGGGAGGTTACAACCAGTTGAGAATCATAAGTACACCTGTGCGAGATTTGTTTTGGAACAATTAAAGCTATTTTAATGAAACTATTAAATTATTCTTCTATCTAATGTTACAAGTATATACATCGGAGCATGGCGAATCGGTGAACTACATATATACAAACATATATATAGCTGACATTGGAACAATCGTAGGATTTATAGAACTATGATCAGTAATTAACTATGATCAGTAAGTAACTCTGAACATTAAATATCTATGAAGATTAAGTAACTCTGAACAGTAATTAAGTATGATCAGAAATTAACTATTCTTATTAAGTAACTTTGATCAGTAAGTATCTAATGATCAGTTACTAACTTTGAACACTAATAAACAATGACTTGCAACTTTTGTAACAAAACGTATGTGAGACTTGGCCGGCAGAAGTCACTTCGTTCCAGGGAGGTTACAACCAGTTGGGAATCATAAGTACACCTGTGCGAGATTTGTTTTGGAACAAATTTAAGAGCAAGCTATTTGAATGAAACTATGGAATTATTCTTCTATATAACTTTACTAGTATATAAATCGGAGCATGGCGAATCGGTGGACTATATATATATTTATTTTTATATATAGCTGCCATATTAACGAGCGGAAAATTTTTACAAAAAAAATGAATATAATATTTTTTTCAAGTGCAACCATCAACGGTCGCAAACAGTTGCTGACGGAAAGAAGACCGACGACTAGCATAACAATTCGCTCGCCCTATGAGGCGGCTACTGTTTTTCCTTTTTCTCTTTTTCCACCTCTGAATTCGTCGGTCTTTTGTGCCCCTCCTTCAGTTACCAGTTACCAGTTACCAGTTACGAGTTACCATTGATTCAGTTACCATTTGTTACTGTTTTCGCAGTGGCAGGCAGCCACAATTTAGTTCCACTGTGCAGCAGTGCCTTAATTACATGGGCCACAACGGCTCTTTTGTTGTAGATTTTTCGGGGTTTCTTCTCGCGGTCATCGTAACGATGATCATTAGAGTCCGAAACGTAGCTCCCTCTCCTTTTAGGTTGTTACCTTTTTATTCTCCTTTCTTCCCTTTTGCCACTTGACCGCATAGATGCTGCGCCTGAAGTTGCCAGATTTTTAAAGCTGGAGTTTTTGACTGGTTTTAAGGGTTATATAATGGTATAGGAAAGATCCTTAAGCTTAAGATTTCCATACATATTTGTAAAGAATTTTTTTTTTTAATGTTAGTTTAAAGGCTTATAAAATATTATTGATGAATTTCCTTTTTTTTTTGCTTAAAAAATACTATTTTTATTTATAGAAATGTCTGAGGAGTATTTTTATTCATAAGAAAACTTAAAGATTTATAGGAAAAATCATATATTAAGAATTAAATTAATTCCTTTAAATTGATTTAGAAAATTTTAATAACAATTATTGTATAAAGTTAATTTTTGTGAATTCTTTTTGCCAGGTACAACTTGTGGGTTTTCACTTTTTTGTTAATAGAGGAGAAACCTATCATAAAACCAAATTAGTCTTCATAAAAGTCAGTCTAGCGATAACTTTTTCAAAATAATCGTTTAACAATCTTTTCCACATGAAAATTTGTTGTTTTGCTGCCCAGAAATATAGGCCAATTAGTCATAAATCAATTAGTTACAGCTAGAGAAGTGCAAATATTAAAAAAATAGGATTTATATATTTACATTAGAGCATTTTGTACTTAAGAGACATTTACTATAGCCTAGTCTCGATTAAAATGGATTAATATGAGAAGACTCTCATAGATATTGAAAAAACTATTATATTAAATCAACTACCGACTTTAGCCAAATCACTATGATATTAAGGAATGTATTTTATCAAATGAATTGATTAATTTATATTCCTTATTTATACCTACGGCTAGCATTATCGTCCTGGTATCGATCGCTTTGCTTAATAAAACATTTGATACGCTTAACAACCCTTTCTCCGAAGTAACCTTATCTCAGAAATACTTTCCGATTAGTCATTCCCCTTTGAATACGAGAAACCGCAACAATGACCCAAGAACAAAATACTCCCCCAACCGAACCGAGAAGAGGAATAACAATAAACGAGGGGACTACCACTGTTACACCCTCCAGTAAACCTCCAGTTTATGCACCCTACTGCCTCCTACTCCGCCCCCTCCTCCTCCTCATAACGATCCGTGGGCAATCTGGCAACACCTGGGCAGCGGCAGTTTTTACCCTTCCACAAGCAAAAAAGTAATACAAAAAAAACAACAAAAAAAGCGGTCGGCAGTCGGTAGTCGGACGACGGTAAACAGGTAGCGCTCTAACTGACAATAACTCGTCGTACTCCGCCAGTCGCCGCTCTTGGTCCGTCCCCGGGTCCGATGGTCCGTCCAGCAGCGTGCGACTGGCGGTCGGTTGGGTTGAGTTCGGTTCAATTCCTCTCATGCACTGACAAAAATAATGGGATAGTTTTCATCTAATAAGAAATTGTGTAGATATTTTTGTACGATACTTGTAAACATTTAATATAAAATAAAATTTGTAGATACCACGTTTAAGCCATTTTTTTATTATTTTTACCGGGTTTTGGTAGGGTTTTAACGATATCAATATACAAAATTATTATGGCACTCCTTTATTATTATTTATTTTTAGTTTTTATAAAACACCGCGACTTAATAATGTTAAACAAGGTAATGTAGCTCTAAAGCTATTATTGCCACTTTAACGCTATAATTCCCAACGTGTTTTATGTGTTGTCTTAGTAAAATCAGTTCTCAAAGAGTGTGTCTTAATAAGTTATGATAGAACTCTATTTTATTATACCAATCCTTCAGTTTACTGTTTTTATAGAAATCTTTAAGTATAAGGTGAGCTCTAAGTCCATTTTAGCCACTCTAACGCTATAATTCCCAAAGGGTTCTTTTGTTGTCCTAACGAAATTAGTCCTGGAAGAAGGTTTCAGTCTTAAAACCTTTAAAAACTGATGAAAGTGCTCTGTTAACATGATCTGTGTTCACATTCATTATAGAAAGAATGCATTAAATTATTTTCTAGTGCACTAAGCTGGTTTTCCTGCTCCCGCTCGCTACTCGCTACTCTCCCTATCTTCTCTCTCTTTTCTATTTCCCAGCCTGTTTCTCTCACTTCAACGGGTCTCTCTTTCTCCGTTTGGGCCTTATTCGACAATTCGTGGCTCAGTCTTCGAGTGATAATCGTGGCCAACGCACCTGCGCGCGGATCGTGGTTCGTTGATCGGGAAAAGTGAACTGCATCGCATTGTATGTTGCTCTCCCTCTCGCTCTATCTGTATCTTATGGTGTATCTATGTGTGAGAGAGTAAGTGTGTGTGTGAGTGAACTTGTTGCCGCGAGAAAAGCGCTTTTCAACTGCAACTGACTGGGCCTGCCTGGCTGGCTCTCGGCTTGTGTGTGTGGGAAGAGTTGGGGACTACTTGAGGAGCGAATTGGTAGCTGCACTGGCTTCAGCTCCTATTTCAAACAAAATGTAGAAAAACACATTTCAGCTGCCGTGGTTATATCTCGTTCTCGTTCGGTTTCGGTTTTGAGGTTTTCGGTTCGGGTTTTTCATTCGCCTGTATCTGTGAGATACATTCTCTGCTCGGCGTGTGTGTGCGTTGATTGTACGAGTTGTACGTGGTTTTTGTCGGTTTTTTTTCTGTCGTTGTTGTTGTTGTTGTTGCTGGCAACTACTACGTGGTTTGTGGTAGCTGACTGCCGTTGATGCTGCCGCTGCTCCCGTAACCGCCCGCCCCCTCGGACGCCCCCTCGAGCGATCGTGCCGTGATTTGTATCTCAAAATTGTCCCACTGCGTTCGTTGGTTACTTTTTTAATACACTTTTTATATCGCGTGTGCTGGGAAAATTGTATAAGAAAATTTGCAATATTTAAAATACAAATATTGAAGAACAACTGCAATTTCAAAATTGCAAAACCCATGAAAAATAATCTTCAGTTCTTTCTTAAACATAACTTTCTACAATTCCAAATTTACAGAAATTAAACTTAAAAAGTGCCTCAATGGAAAGAGAATATAAAACTACAATTTAAAAAAATCGCAATTCAATTGGAAAATCAAAATACAAACAGAACCCAGTTCAAGTGTCTCTTAAACAATAAAGATTTCTATCTAAAACAAAAAGAAAACAAAAAACAATGCCAAGCATTTAATACTTAAAAATTAAACAACACAAAAAAGCCACAAAAACTTGTTCAAAAAAACAAAACTACTTTGGATACTTGTCAGCTCAGCTCTCCGGCTTACAGAGCCCTCAGGCTTTCTTCGGTTTAAGCCAGTGGTAAGAACAGGCCCTGCCCACTAAAATGAACACAAAACACCCAAAAATTCCAAACATCACTTATTCATTTATTATTATTTTTTATTTGGCCCTAGCCAAGCTAAGCTAATTATATTTGAATTTTTTTTATTGTATTTTGGTATTTTTGCGTTGGCCAAAAAGCCAGCGAGTAAACGGAAAACATAGCGAGTAGGGAGAGAAAGAGAGAGAGAGAGTGATGAAGAGAGACTTTGAGATTTCTCAAAACCTGATCTGGGTGAGGAGAGGAGCGAGAGGGCCACAACGTTGGCGGTTCGGTTGGCGGACTGTCGACCGACAAGCGGCTTCCACTACAACTGCATGTGCCACTGTCATTGCCACCGAACTCAGTGTGGTGCCGCACAGTCCGTGGTGGAGTATGCCCCACCCCCACCCCCTCGTCACCCTCCCCTCCCTTTGGAAAATAGTTGTTGCTTTTTTACATTTTGTATTTTTTGCTGTGGCGCTCATTTCGACGCGGGACTGAGCCCGGCTCGAGCCGGACTCTACAAAAAACCTTCGCTTGGAATTCTGTGGGTCTCCGCCTAGTGATCTCTTGCAGAGGGTACTCACATTTATTGGGTAGTTTTGTATTAAAAAACATAATTGAAATGGATTTTAATATTAAATATTTTCTGAAATTATATTCCGTGAATTTGTTTTACTGAAGAAAGGGTTTTAAAAATTATATTTTCCTTCAACATTGGCCTTGTTTTTAAAAGTGTTTAAAGTACTGCTTCCTTCAACTTTAAAAAAGTTAAGAAAATTACACTAAATATCTCTAAAAGCTTTAAAAATCGAAAATATATGTAATTCTTAAGAAAATATTTATTTAGATTAAATATAAATATTTCCTTTAAATAAACTTAAACCATACTGATTTATCAAAAAAATCGTTGTTACTCATATTGAAATTATATTGAATTGCATTATTAATATCATAGTCAGAATATCTAAAACTTCAAAAATCTAGTCTTTATGAATATTTCTTATAACTAGGATATTACAAGAAGTATTATGATTTTCTTCATGTCTCAATCAAAAACAATTTTTCAAAATTTTAAAATAATGTATATTGATATTGTTAAATTAAAATTTTCTTAATCTTTAATTTAATAATTCATTGAATTTTGGTTTATTTTTATGTTTATTCTTCAAATGCAATCCGTGCAAGTAATTGAATAATAACCATTTTCTAGATCTTATCACAAAATTGTAATTACTCTTTCTTGTGCAGAGTATTTAAGAATTCGTCTTGGAAACTCTGGATTCTACATTTTTTCCACCTCTGTTTTTTTTCTTATTTTTTTTTTATTTGTAAACCAGTTCACTTGTAGCCAGTGCCAGTGGCCACTGGTCGCTGGTCGCTCTCTCGCCATCTCAGTCGCTCCAGCCGCGACTTTGAATCCGGTTTTTGGTTTTCGGATTTCAGTTTTCAGTTTTGGGTCTTCGGGGCTTAGATACAGAGATTCAGATTCAGTCTGCTTCAGTTAGCGAGCATCATCATCCTCATCAACATCATCATCATCGTCATCTACATCTCTTGATTTCGTTTAAATGTTTTACTTTTTTCCTCTTACATTTTTCTTATTTTTTAAGCTTTTTGTTTTGGTGGGTAAAAAACGCCTCCCGCGCTCTCACAGTCTTGTGAGTATTTTTTTTCTCCGATTTTTGTATTTTTTTTTTTTTTTTTGGGTTGCGGTTCTATAAAGTTATTGGCTTTTGTTTCGCCTCAGTGGAGATCTATTTGGGATTTGTTCATTGTCTCGGTTTATGGGTCTATCCGAAAATGAGTTTTTAGCATAAGAATGGGGAGTAAAAACCATAAAAGTTTATTGCATTTGATCGCTTTGGGTGGGTTTTCCTGCTGCCTTTCTTTCTTTCTTTATACATATTTCGGTTGCAACAGTGGGAGGGGGGATCTCTAGTTAATTGCCTCAGGAAAATCGAACATGGAAATTAATTAAAATTAAGATCGTTAAATGGGGAAAAACGTAAACTCGTGACAAAATAGCTGATGAATTTTAGTTGGCCATAAAGCGAGGCGCGGAACAATGGCTCGTTAGGGTTTTGCCATATCAGACACACCTGGTTTATTTTTTTCGCTTTGGCACGTGTCTATAATTCACCTGATCGACCAGTTCAATCTCATCAATTTTGATGAGGAAATTAGACGTTGTCCAAAGGGGAATATGAATATTTGATTCTATTAACAGAACATAGATTTTTTATGGAATTGAGTAAATTGATTGAAATGATTATCACATTCTTTTGCGCACTAAAACTTGGTTATTAATTAATTCATAAATCAGAATCATATATCTCTTTGCCCTAATAAATCGTAGTCTTAGGGAAGACTCTTTCTCGTAGAACCTATTTAGCATAAACTCCTGTAATAAATAAGAATAACCCACGTACAATGGGTTGTTTAGGAAAAAGTAGCAATCACTTGAACAAAAGACCTTAAGAGCTCTATTCACGGGGTGAAATTCTTGAATGAACAATATACCAAGAAATTTATGAAGAGATCGGCTTAGCATACAAAGTAGATTAACTGCAAGAGGGATTAGGGTTTTGAGTCAAACTTAAGTCGAGAAGAATTATATATTTGAAGAATAGAAAAACGACTAGGACTTGTGCCAAGTCAGAGGGATTATTTTCCAAGATGTTTCACTTGACTTGCAGATGGAATTAAATTATTTCTCTATTGGAAATGTAAAGCAATAAGGTAGAGATATATTTTAAGAACCTTGTTAGCTGAACACACAGAATCTCGATCTCGTTTTGCCACATTCTCCTTGCTTCCTTCAACAATACAAAATTCTTAAGTCATAACTTTAAAGCGTTTTCAATTTATGCTAACGACATTATCAATCCAGGCTAAAGCAACCGCAGCAGCAGCTGCATTCCCGAACCCATAAAACTTCATTAGCAGTTCAGAAAACATGGCCGCGAAATTAGCAAAAAGCTCTTTGAAATTAATGGGCATTGGGTACTCTTACCAGCAGAAAGGCACTCCAAATGTGTAAATCTCATGGATATTAATCAAGAAAATTATATAGACGAGGCTGGGAGAGCAGCGAGCAGCCAAAGGAGGATCGATGCGGCTAGGGCAACTTGTTTTTCCACCACAGGCCATGATTATGCTAGATTTTTAATAGCTTCGACTATAATCTCAGATGCTGCTGCGGCTGCCCCGAAAGGGTTTTTCAGATTAACGCATGTGCAGGCAGCCGGGCAGCCGGGCAGCCAGTCAGGTCTTCGACTATAATTATAAGACTGCCCTTCCCTTCCCCTCTCCTCCTCCTGTCTTGGTTTCTTGATTATTAGCTACCTTCGCCCCGGCAGGAAAAATCGTATGGCCCATGTCCCGAAGGGATTAAAATTTAAAAAAGAAAGAACAGAGACGATGCCTGGCCAAGAGCATTCCGAGCTGCAAAACCGATCTGGGCGACCCTTTTTTTTCCTCTTTCTTTAATTTTTTTGTACCCCTTCTTCTCTTGGTTTGTTTGTTGTTTTTTGTTGGCTGGTGTTTTGTAAGCAAACTGAAGTTGAAGTGTAGAGGAGAACCCGGTAAGCACTCCTCGGCCCATAAGCGAGATATGGTCAGCAGAAAGGGAGGAAGCCCTGAGCTGATGAACTACCAAAATACCCTAGGGGTGGATTTTTGGGTGTGTATTTTTAGGGTATAAAATAAATACGAGTTGGGAAAGGAGCTTAAATGATGAGCTGGAGAAAACGTCTTAGGTCGTAGGGTAATTTTCTAAATATTAGAAAATAAAATATAAATAAACTTCCTAAAGAAGTAGCTTACTTATAAAGTTTTCTATAATACTAATGAAAATTAAAGAAAAGTTTGATATATTATATCCACAAATATTATCATATTATATTGAAAATATCAGGGAAACTTCATGTATCAAGAAGTTTTATTATAGAAATATTAGTCAAAAAAGATATCGGATAGATGCTATAATTTATTTGTCAATTGTATTGTATAAATTATAGCATTTTAAGAACTAAATTTATTATATCTGTTTTGATTAAATCGATTTATTAAACGGAATATCGATTTATTTAATATATATGTTATCATCAGCCTTTTCCTAAAATATTGCATCCTTATACCGATGAATTGTTTATTATAGTCTGATTAGTAAAAAAGTAATTATTAAGCATCCTACTTGTTGCCTAGTGGATATACCCGTTTTAACACCTTAAAGAAAAATAAGTACTGGGCAGTAAGACAGTCTGGACATTTTCGAGCCATCGTAGGCCATCATCAGAGGGACAAACTCCCCTTCTACACCTCTTGGCTCTCTACTCGCAGCGTTTTCTATACAAACACTAAATCCGTTTGCCCAGTCTCTGTGTGTGTGTGTGTGTTTGTATATTTTTCTGAGTTTTTTTTTTATCAACTGAAACCTTTTCACTCTGCACTATGCTGGGCCTCAGACTCTGATGTTTACACACAAAAACCCAGCCAACAAACGAACCGATCCCGGACCCAGTCCGCAGAAGAAGTAAAAAAACGAGGCAGAAGAGGAGGGGAAAAAAGTGGCAGCCAAATTGCTCCTCGATATCTTTTCTTATTTTTCCTACGCCAGCAGTAGTAGTTGCTCTTCTGGCTCTTTTTATTATATGTACGATACACTAGAAAAAAATTTAGATCATTAAAATTGCAAGCCATGGCTTTAGATATGTGTATTCATTTGGAAATTGTAATCAGTTTTTGTCTTAAAATTCACAATTGATGAAGTACAAGTAAACGAAATAAATAAATAAGTATAATTTATTAAATAAAATTTAGAATTTAACTGAAAGCAATAATTTATTTAAACTTTTCGTGAATTAATATCGTGAAATAAAATACTATTTTAAAAGGTTAAATAATTATTAAGTTAAGTTCAGTTAAGTTATGAAGATTTTTATACTCATATTATAATTTTAGTCAGAAGACTCAAAAAGGGTGAATTATTCATAAGTTAGAAGCTTAAAATACAGTGAAGGAGTCATTTCCGACCCTATAAACCATATATATTCTTGATCAGGAAAGAAACAAATTTTTTTTGTAAATTTTTTTCAAAATTTTATAAGCTTTTTTTGCAATATTTACATTTTTAAAAATTTTTAAAAAAAATTAAAAAATTTCGAAATTAAATCAAGGTATACAGACTTAATCTATAAAAAACTAGCACAGAAAAGCTTTCCAAATCGAAATGTATGCATTTTTGGCTAAGTTATGAGTTTTTTACGCTTTGGGTTATAGAAAAATCGTCATATCGAATATATATACTCTTTCTGGGCATGTTAAATTCAGTCTGAAGCATGTAACTCAGTGAGGGAATCATTTTCGACCCTATAAATCATATATATTCTTGATCAGCATCAACAGGCGAATCTTTCTAGGCATAGCGGAAAGAAACAAAAAAATTTATATTTTTTCACAATTTTTTAGAGGTGCAAATATTAAAAAAAAAAGCGAAAATGCTCTCGTTTTTTGAAATTTTGAATTGAGTATTCATTTTTATTAAGCTAATAAAAACTAACATAGAAAAGCTTTCCGAATTCAAGAATTCAATTAATCTAACAAAATTGTCATAGAAAAAATATTGATAAAAATAAGTTCAAGAATACAAATATCATATTCATAATTATGATCTATTCGATCCTATTAATCAATTGGAAACAGCAAGGCTGTGTGAACATTGGCTTCCCTATTTTGTCTTAAATAATTTTAATAGGTTCTTTAAGTTAGAATCCCCCCTTTTTTTGGACAGTGCATCTCATAGCCATAGTACACATATTGGAAATTTTTAAGCCTTTGGCTTCATTTGCTGGGCAACCGTTTGCGCAAACGCTTTGCTGCCTGTGTATCTGTAGTATCCGTGTATCTTTGTATCGCGGTATCCGCATCTGTATCGGTATCGGTATCTCACCTCTCTCCCTCTCTCTCTCTTTCTCTCTCCCTCTCTCTCTATAGGCTACGTGCCGTCGCTTTTGCGCTGATGATGTCCATTATTTACATGGATTTTTATTTGTTTTTCTTATTTGGCTTGACGTTTTCTTTTTTTTTTCAAAAGTGCCGATGTTTCAAAAAGATAATGAACGTTGGAATTGTACTTTGTATGTGCCAGGAGTGTGTGTGTGCGGGTCGTAAATGCAAAAGTGAGGAAACAACAAAAGCCTAGAAAAAAGTCTCGGTACAAAAAATATATCTGTATGAAAACCAGAAACGGGTTACGGTTACACTTTCGAGGCTACCAGAAAAATACGTGATCCGGAGTTGGGGGAGTTTTATTATTATCGATATGGAATTGTAATCGAATGAGATATTAGTGGCTCATCCACTGATGATCATATCAGGTCGGATTTATAGTAACCCGAGTGTCATAAACAGATCAGATAAGCTTCTTTATTGATCCAACACATAGATAGTGGGCAATGGATTAGATTATATTATTATTAGATATATATGGTTATAGGCATTATTCAATTATTAAGCCATAAAAGTGGGGATTAGTTTGGCATGTGCTTCTGAGGGAAAACCTGTAAAGGCCTGAGTGGGTTTATAGCTGAAAGAGATACTGTTATGGGTTAATATTTATTATTGAATAATTATTAAACATTTTTCCAGAGAGCTATGATAAAAAGTAACTAGGAGTTACTAGGAGTTTAACATATTCACATAAGAAGTAATCCTTGAAAAGGTCAGTCTGTAGGTATAATATTAATTAAGTTCCACAGTTCCCTTTGTGAGTCACAAGATGTCCCTGAGTACTGTAAGATTATCATAGTTCTATCCTGATAAGTCACAAGATAAGTTCCACAGATATTTAAATTATGAACATGAGGTTCACCTCATATTTTTTCCACTTGAACTACGCATTCCACTTGCCAAGTCATTCCATTCCCTATAAAGCCATAACAATGAGACCCATGATCAAGTCATGCTTCCAGCTACTTTATAGAGCTAATCTGACAGCGGGCTCTCTCCGACAATGCCAAAAAAAAAACTTATTTCCCTAGATAAGAGCTCCACAATAAACCCAGAAGAACGGTATATCTAGCCACAATGGGCGCCTCTTCAACTGCCACAAAATCTTGGCCAGATTTGTATTTTATTTTCTCCCGTCTTCTGCTTCTTCGGACTGATCTGTTGGCTCTTAATGTTGATCTTGATGACGTTGCAGCATTTTGCATTCAAAATCAAAATCAACCGAGTCAGAAAACCGGAGAGTGGGATTCTAGCAAAATGATAAGCAAAACTGTCGTTGCCCAGACAGCAGGGTAATTTTTTCCACCTTTTTTCTACCTTTGCTCAACTGGTTATAAATTTAAATGAGGCTCACAGAGAAAACGTAGAGGAGGACACGGTAAAAAAATGGGGTTACATTTGTATTTAAATATTAATATTTTGTATAGATTCTTTATTTACTTGGGGTTTAATATTGGTCAGAGTTTGGGGGTATTTGATTTTTTAAAAGTGGATTGACATATAAGATGTAATATAAAATGCTACCAAGTGCTACTAGTTTGGCTTAAATTGGCATTGGTTATACCTAAGTAAAGTTGGATACTTTATATGATTTTATCTTTACAAGATGATCTTAGATTTCTTATGTATTTACTATAGAGCCTTGATATGACAGATTCCCTTCTTATAATATATATTAAATTTCCCTAGTTCCTATTTAATGATTTCAAAGTATCTTGAGCTCTTGAACCCTAACTTTTCGCCGTGCAAAGTCTGAGAAAACCCTGTGACTTGGGACACTCCACAAGTTTTATGGTTCTGGCCATCATTGTGATCATTATTATCTGCATTATTTTGTTATTATCGCGATGATCACGTTCTCCAATCCACTCCGCTCGGCGCACTCAGAAGTCGAGGCTCCTGTTGCGTAAATCCAGTAAGCAGTCGGTCGAGTTGGGTTCGGTTCGGTTCGAGTCATTTACCAAAAGCGACGGCAACTTGGCTGCCTGCCTGCCCCTGTATCTGCATCTGTGTGCGCAGCGAGCGCTGTATCTTTGTATCTGTATCTGCGAGTGCCGTATCTGAGCCGCAGGTAGCGTGGTGTGCGTCTGTGTTTATATCGTTACTACTGTGCTGGCTTACTTGCTTACTCACAGCGGAGGCAGGTTTTTATTTTTCCATAGGTTTTTAGACGCACAATCTTATCTAACCTGGCAGCAGCGGCGGCAGCACCAGATCGCGCCAACTGCGACTCGTTTTCAGTTTAGTTTCACTCGCCGTCGTCGGCAGTCCGCCGCTGATAATAATAAAACAACAACAGCAACAAAGGCTCAAAGAGCAATAAAAATACACAAAATTCATATGGAAAAGCTAAGCAGTGATAAACTAATGGTTTACCCTGTGAAAATCAAGGTTCCAAATCAAAGCTTATGGGTAATTCTCCAAGAAAACTTAACTAAGTTAAGAGCAAACTTTTGGTTTTAAAGTCTCAATTTTTAAGGCCTGTTTTTATAAAGAAATTATCCAGTTGAGTTGTTTATTTATTTTCTTTAGTGCAAGTGCAATGAAAGTCGGTTTATTTTGCGATAAGAAGTGCAAAAAATAAACTTAAAGGTGTTAAAGCGCTTTAAAAGTGAGTTATAACTAGGAGAGAAGGAAAATGAATTAAAGAATGACAAATTTAAGAAAGAATTTTATATTCCAAATATTTTATATATTTTGTGATAAATAGAAAAAGTGTTTGATAATTTCATAAGGTTTTGTATGTAAATGGATGTAAACTTTTATGATAAAGGAATTTTAATTATTATATTATTCAGTATTGAGTAAAATAAATAATATGTATTCCATAATGTTCGGTGCTGTATTTTAATGCCTTCTATATAAAATATTTTCTTAGAGAAGGTATTAACTGGTTTTCAGAGTACCCAGCCTTGATCTAAGTTTATATTTTTAGTATCAGAATAAGAATATTTACTCCTTTTGATTCAGCTTCTTTAACTTATTTTCAATATTCTTCTAAAATATAGGAATAATAAAAAGTTATGAGCGACTGGAAATTCAGATTCCGATTAAACCCGAATTTAAACCCCTTTTAAATATAAATATAAATTAATACAAATTTCCATTAACTAAGATCGCTGCCACCAGGTTGGTTTATCATGCCTCGTTCTACCGTGTCAGCTAAAAAAATACAACCTGGAAATAACTGTTTATAGCACTTGGAACGCAATTAAGATAACACTCGAACGGAAAAAAAACCAAAAAATGAAGAGGGGCCAATTAACCTGCTACAATTAGCACGGCCAAGGCGTCTCCACTAATTGTTATTTACTGCCACCTTACACCTAGCCAGCCCTAATTTATTTCCCATTCCCATTTCCAGTTCTAACGGCATGTGAGTGGAGCCCCCACGATGCCCACGGAAAGCTCATCCAGCGAGATCTCCGGCGGAGGAGGCGGCGGAGCGATTCCCATGCTGCGTCCCTCCCGCATGGATCAGTTCATGTCCTCGGTGGCAGCGGCAGCGGCTGCCGTTGGTGGAGCGGCGGCGGCTGCCTCGGTGGAGCGGAACGGAGCGGGTGGCGGTGGATCCTCCGATGGTGGCTCCCAGAATGGCGGCGATTCGAGGAACTCTTCGGCCAGCCGGATGTCGGCCTACGAGACACAGCTGGCGTATCAGCAGCATCTGGCGGGACTCCATGGTGGACCACCGGGGCCACCGCCACCGCATCACAGAGAGATCTCCGCCTTTGTTCCGGTCCTGCCCACCGGAAAAGTGAGGCCCGGCAGTAATTCCAACTACGAAATCATCGCCATGATGGCGGACAAGCGCAAGGAGCTGGCTCTCCGGGAAGCAGCCGCAGCGGCAGCCATGCTGGGACGTGGTCCCGGTGGTGGTCCACCAGGAGTGCCGCCACCAGGTGTCCTATATGCCCCACCTGGCGTCCCACCGCCGCCATATCTCACCGGACCAGGACCCTCGCCCACGGGAGCTGGGAGCTTTCCCTTCCCGCCAGGAGCTGCTGCTGCAGCGGCAGCTGCCGCCGGTCTCTTCCCACCTGGCTTGGGACCGGGTATGCATGCCGGCCTGGATCGGCGGCTACTGAGGGCACCGGGACGGGCTTCGAGGCCCAAGAAGCAGTTCATCTGCAAATTCTGCAACCGGCAGTTCACCAAGTCGTACAATCTGCTCATCCACGAAAGGACGCACACGGACGAGCGGCCCTATTCCTGTGATATCTGCGGCAAGGCGTTCCGGCGACAGGATCACCTCAGGGATCACAGGTGAGTTGCGACTAAGATCCAAAAAAATTATATATATATATATAGAAAGGGGGAGTGTCTGCCTTGGTAATTGCCAGCCAGGCGGCTTCAGGCCTGCATTTAAGTTTTAGATTTTATTTGGAGACAAGAAGAAGACTCAAGAAATACCCTTTCAAAGGGAGAAAATATTAAAGATTAATCAGAGATCTATACATATTAGAGGGGAAAATTAATTATTTCTTTTTAAAGTATTAGATACCTTTTAGGACGAATAAATTAGTAAATATTTGAAGCTTAACATGGACTTTAAGTAAATAAGAATTCATAGAGAAAGATATTGTTTTAAATATTACTGAGATTGTAAACAAAGTTAAGGCTGTATTTGAAAGGAAGAAAATGTTATTAAACATTTATCCTTTTTGTAGCTATCATATTATCCTAAATTTAGATCTTTAAAATACAAAACCTATACCTTAAAAAGATACTTTCTACAGATAGTTATACGCAACAATTTTCTTTAGATTCCCAACCAATGCAACTCCCTTTTAACTAAAAAATCCTTCTCCAAACTACGTGAAAAATTCCAGGAATATTCTAGCCCAAAATTCTGGCCTTTTCCGACTGTCTATCTTAACCGAAAGAGTACAACACTTGACGCAAGCCATGGCAACACACAGCAAAGTTAATTAACTCTGTTTGGTTTTCCTTTTGGGGTCTCTGCCAGCCAGTATCAAAGTCAGGGGGAATGCCAAGGGGCTCCCCATGTATATAGGATCCCAGCCCCGATCCCAGGCAGCAGGTCTCCTCCTCCTCCTCCTCCTCCGTACACGGACAGCCTGTCCGCAGAGCGTTCTGTCTTTTGATCGTTCGGTATCGGTCCATTTGTCGTTTGTTTGCTTTTTGCCGCGGGGCTAATTCTTCTTTTTCCATGGGAGAAGAATCTCGGAAGAGGCAGAACCTGTTTTTTTCGGTTTCTCGCCAGCAGCAGCTGCTGGCTGCCTCCAAAGAGGCTGATGCTGATGCTGATGCTGATGCTGTAGCTGAAGCTGAATCCGAAGCTGATGCCGAGAAGATGGGGACTTCCACTGGGGCCGAGATGCTTCTGCTGCTGCGGCTGCTGCGGCTGCTGCGGCTGCTGCTTGCCAACAACAAGTGGACGCCATTGCCAAGATGGCCGCCATAAACATTAAAAATTAATGCAGGCAAAGCCAAGCTCAGCATTACAGAAACTTAAATACCCTTTGCAGTTAAATGAAAATTTTATTAACGTTTTTATTACAAATATAAATGTACATGACTTCTGGCAATCACCTAAAATATGTCTATTCGAGGTATCTTTTTAGAAGTAAATTTTTTAGGTTAATCCAAGTTTTTGAAATATCATAACTAAGCCAAAAATGCACTAATTTCATTTCGGAAAGCTGTTCTGTGCTAGTTTTTATGAGATTAACAACTGTGTTTTCAGCTGCTGACTGATATTATAAACTTTTTTTGAGTTGACATTTATCGATATATTTATATGACAATTTTTTGCAACAAATTGATATTTAAAAAACTCATAACTAAGTCAAAAATGCATTCATTTCAATTCGAAAAGCTGTTCTTTGCTAGTCTTTATAAGGTTAACAAATCTGCATATTGAGTTTCAAGATTAAAGAAAATTTAAGTTTTGTCAAATTTTCACATTTTTACAATGACAATTTCTAACAATAAAATTTTGATTAAAAAGGGTCAAATTTTTTTTCTTTCGGACATGGCTAGATCGATCCGGCTTTTCATCCTGATCAAGAATATATATGGATTATAGGGTTGGAAATGACTCCTTCAATGCGTTTTAGGCTTCAGACTGAAATTATAATGTCATGCAAGGGTTTAATAGTTGCGTCAATTTTGAAACTATCATAAGGGTTAAAAAACAATATTCATAAATAAATAGGTTATCCAAATCTATTACATTGATTAGGTAATATTTTTTTGGGTTGAAGGGCAATCACTATCACTGCCACTATCACTTCCGATGTTTACAGTGGGGAGGCCGCACACAGACTGAGGCCAGAGCCGCTGCTGGGCCTGTATTTATACTGTCCGAGCAAAGAGAACAGAGAATGTGAGAGCGAGAGAGTAAGAGTTATCTCTAGAGAAAAGCAGAGGGAGCGTTAGGCAAGCCCAAGCAGCTAGAGAAACAGAGAGAGAGAGAGAGTGTATCCTATGCTTTAGCTAATATGTTACAAATGCTGATTTCATATTTAATGTTTAATTCAATTAATTTATAATCACCAACAGTGTATTTTTAAGTTCAACTAATACTTTTCGATAAGCTCTTTGCTAGGGTATCTCTGTTTTGGCTTTAAGTAAATAAGAGCGGCCATAACTGTCAACCTAAACTGCCAATTGCAGTTACCAAACTACCAATCCACCCACGCATATTCCAATTAAGTGTCACCTGGCTAAACTCTTCCTCTTTTCCTCCCTCCCCAGGTATATTCACTCTAAGGAGAAACCCTTCAAGTGCACGGAGTGCGGCAAGGGCTTCTGCCAGTCACGAACGCTGGCCGTGCACAAGATCCTGCACATGGAGGAGTCGCCGCACAAGTGCCCCGTCTGCAGCAGGTCCTTCAATCAGCGCTCCAACCTGAAGACCCATCTGCTCACCCACACGGATCACAAGCCCTACGAGTGCTCCTCCTGCGGCAAGGTCTTCCGCCGGAACTGCGATCTACGGCGCCATGCCCTGACCCACGCCGTCGGCGAGGTCAATTCGGGTGACTATGTGGACGTGGGCGAGGAGGATGAGGCCAGAAACTTGAGCGGCGATGAGGAGGACTCCTTGCTGGAGGTGGATTCACCCCGGCAGTCACCGGTTCATAATTTGGGGGATTCTTCTGGACCTGGCGGTGAGAAATCAGAGTCCGAGAGGATGAGACTCAAGCGAAAGGCTGGTGCCCTGGATCACCACCACGAAGAGAGTGAGGAGGAGTTCGATGACTACGACGAGGAGGAGGACCTACAGGATCTGCAAGCCAGAGATGGAGCCGGAGCAGAAGAGGAGGAGGACTTTGACCCAGAGGATGAAGAGCGTGCAGAAGTGGCCCTGGTGGCCGCTCGTTTCCCGGCAGGCAAAACTTCTGCTGCTGCTGGCAGTAATGCCATCGTCTCCGGCGTTGCCTCGGCATCTTCCAGTGCCTCCGGCAAACCGGAGCGCCAGGGCGTTACCCACTGCCACCACGAGGGCGGGGAGACCTATACGATGAGACCGCATGGCGAGAAGCACCTAGAGGAGCCGCCTCCCAATCCCAGTCTATCGGTACCACCTTCCTTTGTGCGATACCCGCCAGGAGCTGGTCCACCTCCTCCTCCATTGGGACACGCACACTTGCTGCCACCCAATGGCGATCCCTATTTGCCGATTCTCCATGTTCGTCGTGATCTGCACCACAAGAGCTTGAACCTCTCGAAGGCTGCTCCACCGCCACCAACTCCTCCTAGCATCAGCATCCAGCCAGAGACGAGTAAGCCACCCAATCAGCCTCTGCACTCGCCACACGAGGCAATGCCCAGCTTCCTGGGTTCAATTCCCATGCGAAAGCGGATCCTGCCGCCTCCGCCACCCACCTTGGACCTGATGGATCCCCAGCACCATCATCATCACCATCATCCTGGCCTGGGAGGCCCCAGGACCTTTGTGGATAACCCGGGTATATATGCCTTGAATATGTCACGACATCCCCCAAGGCAGCTGCTGGGAAAACCCCCACCGAGCACGGAAACCAACTGCGAAAAGGGAGCAGGAGCACCACCTGGGCCAGGAGCACCACCTGTGGCAGTCCCACCCATAGCACCACCAGCGGCGCCACCCAGAAGGACAGGATTTAGCATTGAGGACATCATGAGGCGTTGACACTAATCTAAAAGTATCGGAGAGGCCACAGATATTGCTGTGATTATGAAATTCATTTCAAATCTCCTGCGATTTCCGTAAGGCCTTCGCCAAACTTAATAAAACTTGATCTGAAACCGATTTTGGGTCCTTTAAAAACTTGTTCCCATAAGGGATATAAATCCCGAAACATTTAACACTTATTTAGAGCTACGTTTTAGTACATTTTAGTGTAATGTCTCTAGGCAAGGCAATAGACTTAAATATATGACAAAAACAAAACGCATTCCCTAAGCTGTAATTGTAAGCTTAAAGAAACTGAAACTCTGTTGTTGCATTTTATAGAGCTCTTAAATATATATTATATAAATATATATACATAAGTTAGGTGTTAAGACTTAGCTTAAATCTGATCGTTTAAATGATTAAGTACGAGAGTCTATCGCTTAGTTTTTTTGTGAGTGCTTGTGTGCCTGGCTACAACAACACTAAGTGTTGCTGTTTTTTGTCGAGTGGATGCCAACTTTTAATTTATGTTTCCTTATCCCGTAAGCTAATCTTAATTGAGAAAAACAACAATGAAATCGAAAATCGTAAATCGATTTTGTCTGTAGGGAAAAAATGGTTGAAAGTAAAAGTAAAAAAACAAAACAAATTCAAAAATCGAAAATGAAAACTAAACAACATTCCAGTTGAACCTTATGTAATTTAGGCTAAGTTTATAATTTAAGCCATTTTGTTAGTAAGTAAGTGAGTTGTATTAGTAAGCATTCCATTCCATGGTCTTCCTTGAATTTTAAATGATTTTTATGCAAACCATATAGCGAGTTAGTTTTATTACAAATAAAGATTGCATTAATATGGAAAAATTCTATGGTTTTTTTTAATTGGGGGGTGGGTTGTTTTCTTTTCTGTTTTGGAAAGGGAATTTATTATATTAGATTACAAATTTTTGTAATTCCATTTCCATTAATTCTTTACTTATTTATTTATTTTGTTTTGATATTTAGCTACCAGAAGATGTATAATTTATGAGTCAAAACTATGTATACAAACTATTGTTTTACGCAAGGTAAACTAATTTCAGTCTGAAGCTTAAAAAGATGTGAAGGAATCATTTCCGACCCTACAAATCATATATATTCTTGATCAGCATTAACAGCCGAATCGATACAGACATCTCCGGAAGGAAAAAAAAATTGCAAATTTTTTTCAGCATTTTATCATTTTTAAAATTGGAAAGAAAAAGACGAAAAAAATTTAATTTTTTTTCATTTTTAACTGAGTATGCAGATTTGTAAACCCAATAAAAACTAACATTAGAACGTTTTCCGAATTAAAATTAAAGCATTTTTGACTGATTTATGAGTTTTTTAAACTTTGATTTATCGAACAAATTTTCATACATATCAAAACATCGATAAATATCGATTAAGAAAATAGGGATATGTTTAACATAGTTATGATTGAAGCAATGATTTTGAAAATATATGAAAAAGGTCCTGTTTTATATTTTAATTAATTAAAATAAATGCAAAAGGTATATAAAAATATAGGATTCTCTTAAATTTCTTTAAATTAGGCCTCAAAAGCTATCAAGATTTACCGCTAAGAGAACTTCAAGGCCTCTGCCCCCAACTAAATTCTACTTTATTTCAGTAACTACCAATCTTGGCAGTTTATTTCCCATAAAACTTATGCTGATTTTAGAGAGATCGCTGTCAAGATCGAAAGGGATCTGCATGGAGCTATATTGAAAACAAAAATCCACTGACTCACTCGCGTTTTGGGGCCATCAATCACACAGACTCAGACTCTGCCGGCGGGCGTTATAATACTTCGGGCACGTTTCGAGGCCCCTCACCTCACCCTCACCCTCACCTTCCTAGACACGGCAGACACGACAGTTTGCGGTTTGTGGCAACGCCTTTAACATTGACTCTCCGGCAAATCGATTTAGAGAGAGGTGCGGGCCGGAGGGGCCAGGGACTGAAATCAAGTACAAGGCACTTGGACACGTAGAAAGTTCAATTAAAATGCCACGCAAATTGTCATCATCCTAGCCGCCAGTTGTGCGTTTCCTGGAATGCCGCCCTTTCCGCCAAATATAAACGTACTTTTCCCAGCAAATGACATCAATTTCGGACTCAACTATAAAATAATTCGCCAAGTTTCTCCACTAAGATGATATCATCTCGGGTCCCAGGAAAGCACGTGATTTGTTTGCCAAATAAAACAAAAACAGTGCGTGAGAATGGTCTCGGTTATTACCACTTTTCTTTATAATTTGCCGCGCAAATTTTATGTTATTTTTATGCATCAAGAATTGCAATTTGTTGAAAATGGTTTTAAAATTTAAATCCCAAAAGAAGTTAGGCTTAACATAAGCATACGTGCGTATATATTTACAAAAGAAAAAATGCTGGAGCGAAGTAAATCAGATTAAAAACATTATTTTAGAAAAATAAGAAGAGAACTGCAACTTGCAATCGGTTTCTACGATAGTTACGGAAATCAATCATAACTCAGTTTAATACATCAGCATTTTTTTAATCGATATTTGTGAATATTTGTATATGTTTACATATTTAACAAAAATCAAAGCTTAAAAAACTTAAAACTAAGCCAAAAATTCATTAATTTCGATAAAGTTTTCAGTGCTGTGCTAGTTATTAATATGTTTATAAGTCTGCATACTCAAATTGAAATTATAAAATTTAAATTTTTTTGCGTTTTTTTTAAATGTTAAAAATCTAAAAACCGCCTAGAAAATGTTGATAAAATTATCAAAAAAAATTTCTTTTCTACATGCCTAGAAAGATTCTCCTGTTAATGCTGATCAAGAATAAATATGTTTTATAGGGTCGGAAATGAGTCTTTCACATTATTTCAAGCGTCTGACCAAAATCATAATACCATTCTGTGAGTCGAATTTATCTATATTTTATATTTCATCGATAAATCAATATTTAAAAATTTCATAACTATGCCAAAAAAGCATTAATTTTAATTCGGAAAGCTGCTCTGTTCTAGTTTTTATAAGGTTAACAAATCTGCATACTGAGTTTAAAATTTCAAGCAAATTTAAATTTTGTCAAATTTAAATATTTTGACAATATTAACAATAAAATTTTGATAAAAAATTTTCAAATTATTTTTTCTTTCGGTCATGGCTAGATGGATTCGCCAGTTGATGCTGGTCAAAAATATATATGGTTTATAGGGTCGGAAATGATTCCTTCACTGCTTTTTAAGCTTCTGACTGATATTATAATACCATTATTTGAGTTGATGTTTATCAATATATTTATATGACAATTTCTTCGGTAAATTAAAATTTAAAAAACTAATAACTAAGCCAAAAAAGCATTAATTTCAATTCAGAAAGCTGTTCTGTCCTAATTTTTATAAGGTTAACAAATCTGCATATTGAGTTTTTGGAAAATTTGAAGTTTGTCAAATTTTGATATTTTGACAATGACAATTTTTAACAATGAAATTTTGATAAAAAATTTTCATTTTTAGTTTTCTTCCGAACATGGCTAGATCGACTCGGCTTTTCATGCTGATCAAGAATATATATGATTTATAGGGTCGGAAATGACTCCTTCACTGAGTTTTAAACTTCTGAACTAAATAATAATATGCTGAAAAAGTAGTGTAATGTAACAGGTAGGAATTTTCTCTATTTAATTTGTGAAAAGACAATATGCGTTTTAAGACTTATAACTTACCAGCATATGTTTAATTGTATATCTGTAAAATAAAAAAGAATAATATATTAGTAAATTTTTAAAATATTATAGACTGTTTTGATTTTGTCTTACATTTTATTTGTAACTATAGATATATATTAACTTTAATTGAATGTATTATTTTTGATCCTCAGTTATAACGAATCTTACAAAAATTCTACATTATTTTACAGATGCTTAGTTCCCGAACCTCACACGGAAACAGTGGCGCCTTTTTTCCAAATAGTTCCAGAAACGAACACCTGTGTGGTGAATTTTGTTATTTGAAAAATAAGTGAATTTATATCTCAAATGGAAATATACATCATTTAATTGCTTGTTTTATTTGTGCTTTGTTATTATTTCTCTTTAAAAACAAGTAAACCAAGTGATTAATGATAATAAATAGGGTTTTAGTTGAGCTAACATCCACTGCCATTGTAACTTATATATGAATCATTAAGCAAAAAAAGATAAAATTGAAAAAATATCCAAATAATTCGTTATTTGGCTGAAACTTATCTAACATAAAACAAATAGAAAAGCTAGGGTTAAGTGTAACCGACGTTAAGATAACCGATACCCCCAATAATTGAGGGTGAAATAAACTTGAAGGACATAACTGAATCAATCTTCTTTAATTATGCTCAAATTTAGAAAAAAAAACTAAAATATAGAAGGAAAGGCAACGAAAATGTTTAAAAATTAAGACAAATTTTGATAGGGAAATGTTGCACAACACCAAAATAAAGATAAATGTTGATAAGAACTTGTTGCGCAACACAAGCTGCAACATTTCAAAAAGTAAAGTAATTTATTGTTTAATAACTTTCATGTTTAAGATCCGATTGCACTTTAAATGTTTTAGAAAACAACCCCATCGATATATACTATATTTACTATATATCTATACTATTCCAAATCAAACAAACTAACATTTTCCACCCACAACTTAACAGCAATGCACCAATGTTAACAACAGCAACAGGTTCCAGCTAGCTACCAACCTTCTGTATGTGGCGCTGCACGATAGCTTTTTTGGGCTCCGCGCGCTGCACTGTTAGCATTTCGGCCAAGGTAACTGGAGAGTGTAACTGGCATTTTGGCCGCTCGCTCAGCCGAAAGCTGCTCTGGACTTTGGGCTTAATGCGATTTCTCAGCCTCTCCGGGCCACTCAATGCGCTCAGCGACGCTCTTTGGGGTCTTGCGAGTCAGTTCGGTTTGGAAGGTGTTCGCTGTTGGACGTGTTCTGTGCTCGTAGTCGCTCGATCGCGGGAAAATAGCGCTAACTTATTGATCTCAGAAGGTGGCTTTGTTGTTGTCACGTATACGTACAGTTGGTCGTCCGAGTGTGCGTGTGTGTGTGTAAGTGTGTGCGAGAGTGTGATCGCTGGCTGTGTGCTGACCGCGCCTTAAAGCGTTGCGACGCTTCTTAAAAAGCTAAAGTAAATCTTATTTTGAATTCTTCAAAGAGAGTGTTTTAATAATCAAACAAAAATACAAAGAAAACAGTGCATCTAAAGTTGGAAATTGAATAAGAAAATACAGAGAGTGAAAAGCCAAAGCTTTTGGGCCAACAAAAAAGTGAGGTTGTGTTGGTGCCTTGGCCAAAATATAAAAAAAGTATTACCAAACACACCAATACGTGTAACAACGCAAAAGTGGAGTGTACACAAAGAAAACATACAAAAAGCCGAGAGCATTACGGCTTCAATTAAGGCCTAAAAGGAGACAGGATTCTTGTTAACAATCCCAAGAATTATAACTTTAAAATCTGAGTGATTTATGTGTATTCTGTATGCAGGCCATGAGTGAGTGCTATGAGTGTTGTGACCGTTAAATTTGAGCTAAAGAGAAGGCCAAAAACATCGCTAGATTTGGTTTAAAAGAGTTTTGATTTTCAACTTGACCAGAACAGGCATTTAAATTAAAACAATAATATTTTATAATTCAGATAAAAAATATTTCATTATAAACAAAAGAAACCAAGTGAGCAGACTTGCAAATAATATTTTAAATTTACTTTTTCCTGACTGTCTTTTCAAGCCGATTGAAACCGGTTTATTGGCATTTATTTCTTATGCGTTCTTAGCCAACATGAAAGACTTAATCCTAGCAATTACTTAATATCAGAGGAATATAAAATAAAATTATATAATAAATAATAGAAAAGTCAATCGTGAATATAATATATAATAAAAACGTAAAGTTGTTCAATGATTTATTGATAAAGACAAGTAAAAAGTCATTTATGGAAATATTCTTATTATTATTGTGGTATATATATATAATATATATAAATTATTAAAATGTATATACAATTTTTTTACCATATTTTATGAAATAGTTTTCAAGCTTTACTTTGAAAGTCTTTCATTTGGAACAATTATAAAACTATGATTTTTTTAATTTCTTTCTTTTCGGTTCAGCGAAAGACAGAAAAAACCATCGGAGTATAAAGATTTGGATCCGAAAACAAAAAAAATTCTGTTAGCTGGCTGCTCTGTTTCTCTCCTCGTTTTGCACGCTTTCTTGGCAACTAATTGCACCATCTATGGCTATTTTTTACTCTATTTTTTTCTCATTTTTTTGTTGCGTTTTGTTTGTGGCCAATAAACTGCAACTGCAACTGCAACTTTTGAGCCCCGATGCGTTCAGCGAGCCGCAACGTTGAGTTGGTTGCACTTGTTTCCCGCCAAATGCCCCCCCTCCCGCCTAAGGACAGGTTCCGCTCTCTCTCTCTCTCATGATAGTTCCTCTAGTTACTTCCGCTCCGCATTACTCATCCGCCTGGGAGCCGCCGATGACGCGTTGCCCCCTCCCTCTTTGGTAGGCCGGAAAAAAGTGAATTAAAAGAACATTTTCGCCAAAACGGAAGTGGAACATTATCAATCAGTTGGCTTTTTAGATAAGGGGAAAAGGAAAAACAAAGACAGGCGGCGGTGCATTTTCTAGGGGACTGTAAACCTATATCTATAGCCATATATATTTAAGGAATTGATAAAACAAAAAGCACCAGAGACTGAGGTCATACTCAGTACTTACAGACTTTATTAGTGTTTAATTTGTTTGGTAACTTGATGAAATAAATAAATGAAATGGGGGATTTTAGGAAATAGATTTTGAAAAGTTTAATATACCCACAAAGAATGCATCAAAATTAATGGGAATGCAAAACTGGCAGGTCAAGCAAATTAACATTATAGCGTGCCAAGCATCATCAATGACTATATGAGAGATAAATACATACAAATATCTAAAGAGATATAGAAAGAGATGAGTATTCCCGTAGTATTAGTCATTCATGCCGGCAAATGACTAACAAAAACTAGTTAACATTTTACGTAAATCAAAGCAAAACAGAACGAAACAAATTGAACAATGATGGGAGCTCTCAAACGACCATAAAATTGGTTAGACAATTGTAATTTTAACAATTTCTAGAGCCAACGGGTTTGTTGAACTCTCTTTTTTTTTTGGTTAAAACGGAAACTAAATTAAATTGCTGTAAAATTGACCAAAAAACCAGCTGCACAGCGGGGGTATAACCCTTTCACATCAAGAGAAAGCTCAATTAGACCAAGAACTAAAGCTGTGGGAATTGAAATTAACTTTTAAGTGCGGTTAAAACGAGTTTAAAATTTAGGAAATGCTGATAAAATATCAAGAAAATATATACGTCAATCTAATTGAATATAATTTTGTTAAATTAGCGAATAAAACTTAAACAATTTTAGACAAATAAGAAGGCTAGCTATTTTGATATCTTATCTTTTAATTTTCTATATAAGCTATAAGCTTTTCATTAGTACAGAAACAAAGAAAATGTTCAGAGGGCACGTATACCAAAAGAAATTATCATATTATTATATAGAATGCTTATATAAATAAAGGTTATACATTAAATTTCCTGTGTGATAATTGCCTTATTTATCCAAGTTTTCTGCAGTAAAATAACCATAGTTGGTCATAAAATACCTCGATATAAAAGGTACTTTATGCTTAATGCATTTCCTTAATTTATGACCAAACGCGAAATGCCAAAGCACAAACTGAATCGAAAACTAAAAAGTTAATAAACCCATAAAAAAAAGGCAAAAAGACAATAAATATACTGAATGCACTTCAAATGCAGTCACGGCAACCACGAAATCAACATTTCAGCCGGTGACGACGCCGTTCAACGACTTGCATCGCCTGCAGTTGAGTCACACGTCCGAGATACAATATACAAGATACAAGATACAATCCACACACGCACCGTTGTCCCCCCGGAAGAACCCGGCTCTCTCGAAGCTACTTTGCATATTCGATACATATGATATGCTGGCTATCAGAGAGGTTCGGAGTACAGAGAGAGAAATTTTGTAAAGATGGTTTAATTATTACTATATTGGAAATTCTCTTTTTTTGTATTTCAAAGTTATAAAAGACTTGCAATTGATTTTAATAATTAAAATCATAATCTTTCTTCACAACCCTGATAAAAAATATATATTTTATTATGTGAAATTATTATTATAATTGTTTTCTTTATCGTATCTTTTAATTACAAATGTAATAATTCAGAAAGAAAATAACTAAAAGTAACTAAAAGATAAAATAACTAAGATAGTTTAATTATTAGAAATTATCTTATTTTGTATTTAAAAGTTATAAACGACTTGCAATTGATTTTAATAGTTAAACATAATCTTTCTTTTTTCTTTAGTTAAAAACATAATCTTTCTTTTTAACCCAGCTAAAAATATATATATATTATTTTGTGAAAGTATTATTATAATTGTTTTCTTTATCATATCTTTTTACTACACATTTAATATTTAAAAAAGAAAATAAATAAAAGTATTTACTGTCATTCTTTCAAAAAATCTCCCTATAAATATGTATTTTGTATATTAAACCAAATATTGTTTATTCTACCATTGAAAACGATTATAAATGATCTCATGAGCATCAACATTTCTTTCTGTGTATATTGAAGGTGGGGAAAAGTTTAAGGTAAAGCCCGTTAAGTCGAAG